TGGGGGAATGTCAATCACCCAGTCTAGGAAAACAGCTGCTTAAACAAGTTTTCTAAGATGAGTAAGTGCTCATGCACTGAAAATCTGACTGTAAACCAGAATGAAACCCATTGTTGTAAATGCTACTTGTTCACTCCCCTGGGGAAATAACCCATTTTCATGTGGTTATTCACAGGAGCAAGATAAGCAGTTATTTTCCCATTACCAACTAGTAGTTGTTACTAAGCTTAGATGAACACCCTAACGTGAGTTCACTGTATTTTCTACCATGTAGAGGACTTACATGCTGGCAAATTTGTGACCAAAAAGTCCATACTCCAAAGAATCTGGAATAATCTTCTTAGATGCATGTAAACAATCCAAAGGAGATCTGGATTACCTGTGAATTAGTGACATATATAAGTAATCTAAATTTTAACAATAATTGAATTTCTCAGTATGATAAGTTTTCTACTTCTTTTTTTTTTTTAACAGCTCTGGAGTCTAAATTAGTGAATCAATTTTGTGAAGATGAACATGGCACCTTAGTATACAACCATAATGAAAATGGTGCAAGTATAAGTGGGCAATCCTTCCATTCAGTATCTCCAAGTTCTTTACATTACATACTTCAGAAGAACAATGTTAACAGACAATCACTTTCAGCACAGACACCTGGAGTATCTACAGTAGAAAGTCCTCTGAGTCTTGGCCATCTTCCTCAACCATTAGCGCCGGTATGAAAATTCAGGAGGCTTTAACGAGCAGAATCTTAAAGTATATCTCTTTCTGTGCCACCTAACGTAATTTGTACCATTTCCCTTAATTTTCTGCAGCACAGGTACTTTAACTTGGTACGCTCAGAGCTGGTTGTTCTGAGTAAGAGCTGTGATGTTGTATGCAGGCAATTAACTGATAGCTATAACTTATTCCTGATACTCTTACACAGATTCCTTTGTTTAATAGAGTAATATTTGTGCCACAGTGTGAATCATAACAATATTAAAAAGCAATTACACTGTTATAATTAAGTCTAAGAACAGTAATTGAACTCAATTGTAGATTATAATTTTAAGCCTATAAATAAACTTCTGTAAAGCTCAACTAAGAAAAATATTTATCTAACATTTACATATGACAACTTTCCTGGTAAACCAACCAGGAGAAGTTAAAATTCTGGTTCTTAACGCTGAAGTCAGGGTAAATGGAAAGGAAAAACACTAGAAAATCTCTAAGTCATGGAGGGCTTGTTCATTTTGAAACACTTCACAGTATCTGGAAAGAAAAAAATATCAAATGCTTATTTCAGACCAATGTACCTCCTGTAGTCTATGACACCTATGAAGAGGAACAAGATGAAGAACAACAGCCAACCTTAACAGGAAACACCAGAGGTATTTCTATTGTCATTAATTTCTTCATTTTCATTTTTGGCTGATGAAAAATCAATGTCTCATTCTGTTTCTTTTCACCTGCAGCTGTGTTACCATTACTGTCATCTAAACAACCATCATCCAATAAAGTGATGACATCATCTCTTTCAACTGCAGACCCCACACCAAGACCTGGTGGGTAATAGATAATTTTTCATTTTGTTACCTATTTTCCTGGTACTAACTTTTAATAAGGCTTTAAATCAGAGTAATTTTGTTCCCTTCTCCAAAGATTTTGTGAGTCTGTGATGCAGAAGAGAAGTCGTTTCGGGATTTTATAACAGATCTAGTTGCAGTTCTTGTCTTCCTAAGTCCCAGATCCCACCTCTCCACTTAAAGCAAGGCTGTCTACAACCTGAGAGGGAGCTCCTAAGGGGCATCAAAAAGGGAACATAACGCTCACTGAGGGGGGAGCAGTCAGCAGGCCATTCATCAGCCAAGGAGGGGCAGTCCACAGAGCTGGGAGACTTCATCAAAGACAGCGATTTCAGAATTGGACAGAAAGAATGTGTTTCTCTTTCAGAGGAGCAAAAGGAAAAGGAAAAAACAGTGTTTAGTCATTTTAAGTATAATAATTAGCTGAGTGCTTAAAGGGTCGATTCTTTATTATGAAATGTCCAAATGTATTTTGTTCACCATTTGGGGGATTTTCAGTTCCAGTAATAGTGTATTATCATGGGAGCAACAGAAGAGAGTGATGGAAACATGTTCCCAATGTTTCCTGGGAACAGTGGCATGACTCATTCAGTCTCTGGCACTAACGTTTTTTTCAAAAAAAGTGACAATATACCAGTTTCAAAAGACAAAATAATAGTCACAAAATTAAAATTCACAGAAAACTGTTTTCTATCTCATTTAGAGATTATTAAAGTGAGACTAAGTATTATTAAAGTGAGACTAGATTAGTATGTCACAGTCCTCTAATCCATATCTGTAGGAGTTTTAAATTTAAAACTTATGTACATAATTACTACAGCTCTTTGGCCTACAGGTTCAGTTTGCTCACAAGACTGGTTGAACACAATCAGATTTCAAAAAAATATATTTTTAAATTATCATATTCATATTGTTTGCTCTTTTTGTATTTGGAGCCATAATACTTTTATTTCTGGGAATTACTAGAATCATGCCAGTAAAGGAACAGTTTATTTGACTACCAAGATGCACTTATAACTTGTCTTCAATATTAACATCTTTAGAACTAAAAGTGAATCTTATACTATTGTATAAGACCAGCAGAAAAAAAAAAAAAAAAAAAAAACACCAAAGTAAGAGTTTTAAAGGTAAGATCTATGGAATACAATTGGCTTTTACAAACTGAATGGTTTCTATTGCTCTTTTTTTGTTTTCATTTCAGAAAGCCCTGTGGACCCGCGCTGCAAGCTAAGGCTGGAGCAGGGGCCCTGCCGCGTTTATACCATCAGATGGTATTACGATGGACAGGCCAACGCCTGCGCTCAGTTTTGGTATGGGGGCTGCCATGGCAATGCAAACCGCTTTGAGTCTGAACAGGAATGTACACAGGCTTGTGTGGTTTTTTCTGGAGGTAGAAATTAGTCTCTACATTAAAAATTATAAGGTTGAAGCTATTGATTGTTTGGCTTTTTTTATCAGGTATCCAGCATGGTATCTAAAATCAAACAAAGTAATTTAGAGAATGCTAACATTATGAAGTCACATGCCCACTAACTAAAAAATGTCTACATATGCAAGCATACTTAAATACTTCTTAGCATTTATAATATGACAGAAATTACAACAAAATAGCAAATTTTCAACAGTATCAAGAGTACAAAATTTCCTTTTTTACTCCCTTATAGTAAGGACAGTATAGCATTTGCCATAGCAGTTTCCCTTCCTTCACCTAGATCTTTAAATACTACCATTGTACAATCATTAACTAGATCTTATTTTAAACTGCATATATTGCTTTGAAAGCCAATCCTTGGTCATTATGTAAGTTCTTCTTTTGTTATGGAAATCTAATATTTGGCATGGATTCTGCAATGAAATCTTCACTTCTTTTAAATGAAACTATTCTCACAAATAGTATTTTACTATTTAAAGCACAAAACATCAACTTCCAAATGAGATGCAGAGTACTGCTTAATACAGATAAATACATCAAATGCATCAACTTGTAAGCAACAGAGAACCTATATGCTCTCTGGGTCACAAGACAGGGAGTTGTTCACTTACCCACCTTTCCTAAGCCCATCACAGGTACATTTCATCCTTTTTTTCAGTAAACTCTCCTCAGTTTTTATTAGCTATCCAAGATCCATTACAATTACAGTTGAAACACATCCACAGACTTCTATGAGTGAATACACCAATAACTGGCATTACTGTGTTGGGTTATTTCATGTCTAAAATGGTTTTTCCAATGTGTGGCTTCTGAAAGCCTAGTCTAATTTTTAATTGCATTTTAGTATTTTCATCTTCCTTAGTTAAACATTTAAACTTATGCTTAAAACATTAAACACAGCACACTGTGTTTATTATCTGTTTCTGTGATATTGCTTTTTACACTTGTGTCTGCTTGTATATGTCACATTTCCTGTTATTTAATACACTTTAAAGCTTATTTCTAATAAAACATTTTTGGTTTTACTGCCAGGGCAGAAAATGGATAATGGTACATTTACAGGACTGAAAACTTACCTCACAGCTAAATGACATTCAGTGTGTCGTGTGTTTCTGATAACATAACTGGATTTCTGCCACAGCCCTTAACAAGGCCAAACATCTCAGCTTATGCACTCCTGTAATGAAACTCGTCAATCTTTTTTTATTGGGTTTCCGTGGTTTGTTTGGTTTTGGGGTTTTTTGGGGGGGATTTTTTGGGTTTTTTTTTGGTTGTGGTATTTTTGGGTTTTTGTTTTTGTTTTTGTTTTTTTTTTTTTTTTGGTTGGTTGGTTGGTTGGTTTTTGGGTTGGTTTTTTTTTTGTTTGGTTGGGTTTTTTTCCCCCTGAGCAAATGGTAACTTCAAGCGTATCAACAAAAAGCGGAGTTTGGCCTCAGCTAAGACACCCTCCGCCCTTTGTGCTTTGAGGACGCTCAGCCCCTCTCCTGAGGGCCCGGGGCACTTCCCGCCCGCTGCTTCATTTCACCCAGCTTGTGTCAATTTCCAGACGGGTACAACAGGCTGCTCGCCAACCCACGGATAAGCTGTAAGGGAAGAACTACCAAAGGACGAGTTTTTTTCTTATGAGTCTTATTTGGAGTGTTATTTTTTACATTTGAAAGTGGTAGGGCACTGCAATTGAAATTTGGATGCAGTTTCCAAGTAACTCCAAATTAGAAATGGCACATCTCATCTATTTTAAAATAAACCCAAAACCACCAAACAAACACTCAGCCCCGCAAATCGCGAGGGCTCCAGGCTGCATTACCGAGAACGCCAGGGTCCCTCAGGTTTTGTCACCTGTCAGACCGCTTGTCACCCTCAGGTTTCGCGTTAGAGCCCCTCAGCCGGGCTGAGGGGGAGGAGCCAGGGCGGGCGCGAGTGCGCTCGCGCTGCCCGCGTGCGGCGCCGCAGCCAATCCCGGCCGCCGAGGGAGCGCGAGACCCCACCCACCCACCCCCCCGCAACTCCTCCCCACGCCGTTGCCAGGGCGGCGCGCGGACTCGGCGGGACGGGTGGCGGCCATGAGCGGGGTGCTGGACGTGCTGTGGGAGGACAGGGATGTCCGCTTCGACATCTCCCCGCAGTGAGTGTCCGTGGCCGTGTCCCGACCCGGTCCTGCCCTCACAGCGGCGCTCTGGGGCCCGCCCGACGCCGGCAGGCGGGCGCTTGGGCTCTGCCTCCGCACGCTGAGGCCGACCGGCAGCGGGAGGGCCCCAGCGTGGGCCGGGAGCGCCCCCGTGTGGCGGCGGCGGGGGAAGAGCGACTTCGCCTGGCGGGGCGGAGCGGGGCGGGCAGAGCTTGCGGCGTGGGGTCCGCGCGCCGTTTCCAAGCTATAAAAAGAGGATAAAAGAAAAGATTGGACACTGGAGGATTGAGGGAAGGGTGTGTACTTTTCTCAGCTGAGCTTTTTCTAGCCCTGAGAAGTACAGCCAAACTGAAGGCGTGTGTCTGCGGGGACGGGGCCACTCCTGTTACCAGGGCTTGGCATCCCCCGCAGGGAGCGGGGCGGCGGCCCTGCAGTATTTCACCAAATTCGTGTTTTAATAATACTTTTTGTTTCTGTCGTGCTATACATGCAGAGTTTTGGCTGCTTTTGACATCACGACTAAAGTACAACAAAAATTCACGCTGCATTGGTTGTTATGTAATTAAGTGGTTAGATCAGTTAAATAAAGCAAAATAATAATATAAACAGATAAATAGAAGACTTCACCACAAAAAACCAAACAAACGAAAAACCAAACCACACCCTTTGTGGGAATTTAGCAGAGCATTTCACATATCCTTATACATCTGATATTTCCTTTGCTGGCATCTCTTCTTTCCTGAGCCTAGCTCCACTCCTTATGACCTGAATTTACATAAAGAGGCAAAAAACTCTATCCCCTAAAAATTACATTAATGCAAATGGGTTTTTTTGTTTTTTTTTTCTTTTTCCTCCATTTTCCACACAATTTATCCTTATTTTGGAGTATAGGTTTCATGGTCACACTTTCTACATAATATATTTATATTTATTGTTTAGTTATAATTTAGTAGTAAACATATTAATATTTTTCATCCATGAGATGTAGTGACAATTTCAGGTATGTAAAGTTGATTTGTATGTATGTGTGCATGTGTGGATTTTTCATTACATGATGTACTGAGCAGAAAACAGAGGAAAGTGAAGCAGGGAAATAAAAATGACCTTATTTTTGGAAGATAAATCATATTATTTGCCCTTTTTTTTAGACAAATGAAAATGAGACCTGGAGAGGTCCTTATAGACTGCTTAGAGTCTGTTGAAGATACCAAAGGAAACAATGGAGACAGAGGTAACTGCATATTCAGGGAAATTGTAAACTTTCTGCTCTTTAACCTGTGTAGATTTATGAAAGCCCTGTCAGGTTCCCATTGAACTCTGTATCAGTGCTCTGTTGCACAGAAGAGATCCTGCTTATTTCTCAAATCTGCCTTGGAATGTTTTTTTAAAGTTGTAGGAACATGATTCCTGTCTCAGAATTTGCTTAGAATTGAAAGCCTGGTGGGAATAATCCATTTATAAACAGTGTGGTGCTGTTCTGCTGTAATCCTCTTTAATGCTTAGCTTGTCCCACCCTGTTTTTAACTGAATCAGTAAGGAATACCTAGTGGGCAGGGGCTGAAGCTGCCAGCATGCTGCATGGCCCTTCAGGGGGGTTGGACGTGCTGCTCTCCAGGGTCCAGAGTGGAATAAATTAGCATATGGCAAAGGGGTGAGGTTTTTCATGAGTACTGCTGTGATAGTTAACTCACTGCCTTCCCTTCTCCTCCCCAGAGCAGTTCTGCACTAATTGTGTCTACATTTTTTTTATAAGCATCTGGATTGGAATCAATAACTGCTCTTGGTTTGATTTTGAGGAATGCTGGTATTTATTAGAGGTTCTTTAATTTCTTCCTTGTTGAATTTTCTCTGCTAGCATTTTAAGCATTTAAGTATTTAGTGCTTTAGTGATTTTTCTGTGCTTGTCTTCTTTTTCTTCTCAAGGGAAATGAAGGGAAATGAATATCCTGTTATTTCAGAATATTTCATTTAATGGAATTTATTTAGATTAAAAATAGCTACACTCTTTATCTCCAGGCAAACTGCTTGTGACAAATTTGCGGATCATTTGGCGCTCACTGTCGTTGCCCAGAGTCAACCTCTGTAAGTATTACCTTTTGTTTCCTTTCTGGTGGCTTGCTATTCCTTCACAAAGTATAGATTTCAGTACAGAATACTGAAGTATGGCTGTGTTGCTCTGGAAAGTCTGAAATAAACTTGTTACTAATGAATCTCTTTATAATGTAGGAATGCAATGATAATTCATAGCAAAATAGTAATATTCAATATTCTGTGTTAATTTATCAGAAAATAAATTAAATTCATTAATTTCTTGAGGCATGTTTTTCATTTGGCCGATGTATAATACCATAATGCCATCTGATTCATGTGCTTTTTTAGAAGAAGTTTGAGCTTCATCATACATTGCTTTACTTGTAGCTCTTGTTGCCACCTGTTTATTCACATTCTGCATTTCTGTATTTATTCCCCACAAGTACCTGCCTTTCCAGTTTAAGAATTGTAAACTCTGAATAAATTCATTTTAACTGTATGAGTTTAAACTGTATGAGCAGTGAGAGGTTTGCTCATATTTAATTCAAAGAGCTGAACCAGGAGCAGGATGCAGTTACTTTGTACATGAATTATTTCCAGTGCTCAGTGTGAAATTCCCTTCTGTGGAAATACTTACTGGATTGGTTGGTACACTGAGCAGCCAGAGTTGGTCCTGATTTGAGACCAGCACTTGACCAAAGAACCTTCCAAGATCCTTTCTAGCTTAAATTAGTCTTCAGGGTTGTGATGAGGACCCAGGGTATTAACCACAAGGTGTAATTCTCATACATACCATCCAAAGCTGCACTAAAAAATCCAGTAATATATTTTGTAATTTTGACTGTTATTTTTTCTTGTTCTAAAAACAATGTTTTTTTCTCCCTTGACTTTCAAGCTGTCGGTTACAACTGTGTTATAAATATAACTACAAGAACTGCCAACTCAGTAAGTTCCAAAAAATACTTTTTAAAATAATAAAAGAAGCTGTAATTAGTTTCTTATACTTACTGCACTATATCAACAATAATCTGAAAGTTTACTTGCAAGAACAGTAAAGAATAGTAATAAATAGTAATAAAAGTTTTGTTTTAAAAGTGGAGAGCTCTCAAATACATAGCCTGAATGGAATTGCTTGCAACTGGGAAGCTGTTTGTTTGACCTGCCACAAAGAACTAGCAGGAAGATGAAGTAGATTTCCTGGGCAATCATATGGTAACAAAACCAAAAATACAGTTTCAGTCATGATATTGCAGATGTAGAGCAGGCAGGCTGCATTAGTTTTCATGTTGATGGAACTGCTAGTTGGTCAAAAAGAAAAATAAGTTCAGTTGAAGACAGCAGTGGATTAGTGGTAGAATCAGGATTACACCTCTATAAACACTATCTTAGACAATATCTGAAAATTCTTTATGATTTGTACAATCAAGCTACTATTTTGACAAAATGTAAAATTTCATTTTTTCCTTACAGAAATTACGAGGGCAGACAGAAGCTCTGTATATATTGACCAAATGTAACAATACTCGGTTTGAGTTCATATTTACCAATGTTGTTCCTGGAAGTCCCAGACTCTTCACTTCAGTTATTGCTGTGCACAGGTAGTGTGCTTAAAATAGTGTTTGATCAAGGACTCCAATATGGGGGATTACAACTGCTGATAGACACAGTATATGACTGCCCATATTCAACATTCAGAAAACTTTCCCAAAAGAGAACAATCTCTGGAAGGAAGGGGGAGAATGATCACAAATTTTAGTAGGTAGCTGAACATCTTAAAAATGAATGTGTATTTATACTTTATTGATCACAATTTATACACCTCATGTGTATAAACTATCTGAACAAATAAGAGTATAAAGGAGCTAATTTTAGTGTGCATTTTCTAGATACAATTTCTGTGTGCAGTAATTTCCTATAATTTCAGACCATGTAAAGGAAATGAAGAGTTAAATCCTGGTCAGAACTCTTCATTGACTACAAAACACTGTATGCTTCCCACCTAAAGACAAGTCATCTGAATGAATGCGTGCATAATACATAACCATGGGTTATGTCTATTTAAGAGCTATGGAATGCTGTCATATATATTGGATGTTTGTGATTTAACTGGCACTGGAAAATAAATGATTGTTAGTGTCCATGCTATGTATATCATGGGACCCAGAGAACTCAGGCTTTGCAGTAGAGGCTGGGTGATGAGTGTCTTAAGGGAAAAGAAAAAATAGTATAGACATGAACACTGCAGGAGATCAAAAAGTCATTAAAAACCTGTGTTAAGTTTAAAGATAATTTCATTAAGGAAAGCTGGAATATACTTAATTATGTTGAAAAAGTTTTAATAGTACTCTCACTTTTGTGCAATGTGGTGATAAGAAAAGCTGAAAATAAGCATTTCATATCTGTACTGAAACAAAAGGCGAAGATGGCAGAAAAACAGAACTATGTATGAACTAATACATATTTTATATTTTTTGCAGAGCTTATGAGACTTCCAAAATGTATCGTGATCTGAAGCTGAGAAGTGCATTGATTCAAAACAAGCAACTGAGATTGTTACCACAAGAACAAATATATGATAAAGTCAATGGAGTTTGGAATTTATCAAGTGACCAGGTAAAGAAATAGAATACATTGACTATAGAAAAGTTAAAATGTTTCAGCTTTCATCTAGCAATTGTACTATAGTTTTGTAACCTCCAAGGAATTACCCTTAATGCTGTTCATCAGCTGATGCGTGCAGAGAATCTGATCCTATATATTTGCTACTGACTACAACAAAATCTCCTTTTGGTAACCTGAATTCTACATGACCTGGCTAATATTCCAGGAGCTAGATATACAATTTTTGTTAAAAATATATATTTAGGAGCCTAAAGCTCTGTATGATACTGAAAGAAAACCATGTTTCTGAAGTGCTCTGCAGAATATTTGTATGTTTACATGCAGCTTTGACTAAACAGTAGTAAGACTATATTGTCTTTTGATTAATAAAAATTGAAAATACTGGCAGGGATTCTGTGTCTTAAAAAAATACAAACTTAAAGATAAAAATAGAAAACATTTATTATTTTACAGGGCACTAGTTGCAAGCATTTCCCGGAGCAGTGAAACAAAACAGGAGCTGATATTTCTGTCTGTGCAGTTTTAATCCAGAATAGAAATATGATCCACTCTGACAAGCTAAAAAGTTCTTTCCTCTGCATTCCCTTGGCACACACACATCTCCTCAATTACCTAAGTTTAACCCACATGCCTTTATAGTTACGCTTTATGCCAATTCCAGATCTGTACAGTTAATAACGCTCTCAGATGCTTCATGTACTCCCATGAGGCTGGCTGGGCTGTGACTTGATCCAGCTTTGCTGCAGTAGTAGGCACTCACAGCTATTTTCATTACTCAGGTTCTGGAAGCCTGCTTCCTTGCAATCAATAGAAACATTTCAATTGGGTTTGGCAGGGAAGAATCAGACTTTTAGTGAATGTAATAGGAAGCTGTATCTTGCTTATAGATAAATGGATAGCAGTAGTCATCATGTTTGGGAAAAAAAGCTCTGTACTTAAAGCAATTCTAACATAACTTTTCTTTAATAGGGAAATCTGGGAACATTTTTTATTACTAATGTGAGGATAGTTTGGCATGCAAATATGAATGACAGCTTTAATGTCAGCATACCATATCTACAAATCGTAAGTATCTTACACAACCATTTTCAAAATGAAACAGCATATGCTCACATCCTTGGTTAAAACTCCCAGCTTACCAAAGTTTTATTTCATATCCTTCATTCAGAGAGGAATTTAGTCTTGCTAGCATCAACGACAGGGTCTATTTTCTTTTCTGTCCAGATTAGTTGGGTGATTTCCTGGGCAGGTACAGGTATTGAAAATGGCTTGTATTTCAAACTTTTTAGTATTTACTCTGATGCTTCATGGCACGTACATAAACTGGGATTAATGATCTGTGAAGCTGATGTTCAGAAATTTACTGTTACCATTGTTATCACTTCTAATAAAACACTTTTCCCTGAGGTTTCTGGGGTTCAGATTTGTAATGGTAAATGGGAGGGAATGCTGGTAGCCAAGCTTCCAGAGTCTGTAATTGTAATTATTACACTGTAAAAGAACAAATTGAAACAATGAGATTTTTATCCAGTAATTAGAAAATTTTTAACAGTGTTATACCTCTTTATCATTAGCGTTCAATAAAAATGAGAGACTCAAAGTTTGGCTTGGCACTTGTGATAGAGAGTTCTCAGCAGGTAAGAAGCTTTAAAAGCCTTTTTCTATTAATTATGTGTTTATTATACATATATACAATATTTCTCTAGCAATATCTTTATATACAATATTTCTCTAATTCTGAAATGTCATGGGTTTACTTTTAAGTTACATAGAGCATTTCTTCTGTGTGGCATTTTGAAAACTTTTAGAAAGTTCTCTTTGCACTGCTTTAAGTGTCTGTTATGGTCAATGTGGCTGTTGGGAGTTACAGTTTCTCTAAGCAACAATAGGCCAGCATGATTAACTTGTAACTGTCAAATACACTGTCTTCTGACAGATTATCTTTGGGATCTAATTAAGTCTGTACTTAATTAAGACTACTCTTTTAAATATTTTTCATTATTTCTGTGTATCTGAAAGCTTCTTTAATGACATCCTCAAGACCTAACAGACTCAACATTTGTTGAGGGGCTGGGAATAAATCATTAATACACTTCTGAATTTGTCCCACCCTTGTTTGCTTGTGTTTTTCTGTATAAGGAGTTTGTTCCCCTTTTATATAATGGGCTAATGGTTAAAAGCTTACCTACCTCATAGAGAAGCATTGTCATTGTTTTTATTTCACCCATGATTCAAGTTTTCTCAGCAAGCTGAAAATTACTATAATTAAACTGAAAATCATTATCAAGGAGAAAAATAGGTTTAAAAAACAACACTAATAAACAGATATTGTCTTTTTTCTCTGTTATATAGAGTGGAGGATATGTACTTGGTTTTAAAATCGACCCTGTAGAGAAACTACAGGAGGCAGTGAAAGAGATTAATTCACTTCACAAAGTTTATTCAGCTAATCCTATATTTGGAGTGGATTATGAAATGGAAGAAAAGGTACTCAATTTATTTATTTTAAATTAAATATAATACTGTGTTAACAATAATAAAAATATATTAAACTTATTAGATATGTAAATTTACTTACTACAGTGTTACAATTTGCAGCCTCAACCCCTTGAAGATCTAACAGTGGAGCAGGTTCCAGATGATGTGGAAATAGAACCTGATGAACATAGAGATGCCTTTGTGGTAAGTGGCTCCACAAAAAAAAACCAGAAAAACAGAATCATTCTTGTTTGATTATTCAGATTTAAGCAATGTACAGCTGTAATCCTCTGTTAAAGATAAGCTGCAACTGCACTTTCTATATTTAAAACACATCAACATGCCTTTTATTAAACATCTTGATTATTACAGGAATTTATTCTGTATATGAATTTTTTATTTAAGAACAGACTTACTCAAAATAAATAGTAGTAGATGTTAAAACAAATAATTGTATGTGGTTTCTCAACATATTAAAATTGGGAGTGGCTTGGCAATCAGCACTACAATATAATCGGATACATTATGTTGAAACAATAATTCACCTTCTCTTAAAACAGATGAATAGGTGGTGATATCTATATGCTCAACATTTATCTAAGATTCAAACTTGGAATACTTTTAGAAAGGCAGCAATAATTTTACATTATTATGTCTCCCAGTATTTTGGAAAACTTACTTTAAAATGAATTAGGTTGCTTGATTGACCCTCTTTCAACAAATTTCCAAACTTATTGTGCAAACCAGTAACACTCGGTTCCGTGATTGACTGCAAGGGTAGGTGGCACATGTTTTCAAGTAGTAGCTCTGATGCATTGACCAATCTCTGAAATTTGATAAATTAACAGGCCTAGCAGGAATGTTATTTCCACTCCTTTTAATTTTGCAGCCTCTTACTAACACAGATAAGCTCTTGTTTTTTCCTTTCCCTCTTTCCTAGCTTTTTGGCTTATGTCTTTTCCTTTTTGCACATTTTTATTCAGTCTTCAGCATATTTGAAGACATACCTTCTCCTTAAATGCAGATCTGTTTGTTCTATTGGTGCCTTTGTCACCTGAACTAAATAACTGTGCTTTGTATATTCTCAAACAAAAACTGGAAGCTGAAAATGGTTAGAAAGTTGTTGCTGTAGAGACACAGGTTGCCCAGGACCCGAGGAGCAGCTGCCCACCAATATTCCACAATCCTTGATGCTGCAGGAAAGCACTTTCTTTGCTGACCCTCACCACAGGGACAGCTGAAGCAAGACTGGGGTCTTTTTGGTAAATAAGATCTAGAACCTGCTGATCCAGAGATTTCTAGAGTGTGGATATTTTCAGAGATCTGATATTCCTAGGAGTTTGAGCCTCAATTTCCACCCACACAGAATAGGAAAGATGGTATCTCTTTCCCACATCTCTGTTTATGGAGTTGTTCTGTTACTCTGTGTTCTTTTCTTAGATGGAGTATGATGTCAACTGAATTTTGATATTATACATTTTAAGCTAGTTTTTGATGTTGAATAGTAAAAGCTGCTGCACATGAGGCAAAAAGATACCAGGATGCTGTCAGTTTGTCTTCATATTAATATTCCCTATAAAGTGTTTGTCAGTGTAACAAAGATAATACAAAAATGTTGCTATTTAAAAAGTCTGTGTTTATTATGATGGAAATTTCAGAGGTTGGTATTTAATGAAAAATACCATAATCCAGTGGTATCTAATCTATAATCCAAAACAGAAAATTCTCTTTGAACCCTTTTGTAAATTATTTTAACATAGAAGTAAAACCCATATAGACTGGATTCTTGTGGAAGACCTACTCAATACAGTTTTGACCCCAAGGAATTATTAGCAGATGTGGTTTTTAGACTTCTGTTTTCATGGTTCTTTTTTGTTTTCCTTTGCAGGCTTACTTTGCTGATGAAAACAAGGTAAGGAGATACTTTTTCATATTATAAAATTCCTGTTGATAAAATGGGATAATGGAACTAAAAAGTGCCTTCTGTTTTATTTTATTTTCTCTTATATGTCACATATTCAAAAAGCAACATGATCGGGAGCCTGTTTTTTCAGAAGAACTGGGACTTGCAATAGAGAAGCTAAAGGATGGATTCACACTCCAGGGACTCTGGGAAGTAATGACCTGATTTAGATTGGCACATGTTTGTTTCCTAAGCAGGGAAAAACTCGGTTCTTGCTGCATTTAGATCTGTAGAAGATCATTTAGAAATATCAGAGTAGCAGAGAAAGAACACGCCAAAGCTAAAGAGCAGGCAAATATTATATAACAAGCCCTCAGGCTATGTCATAAAAGCACGGTTACTCAGAAACCTTGTATGCTTTAGAGCTGGGCATTTCCTGTGTCGCCTGTGTAAGCACGGGCGAGAGCCGCTGTGCGGGAGGCGCTGCCCCCTGCAGGCCCCGTGCCGGGCACGGCTGTGCCTGTCACACTGGGGCACCTGGGCTCTAGAGCCGTTTGACACGCTGGTAACCTCCGCTCTTTTCAGGACTGGCCTCTTTCTCCCTGCCCTGACAACACAGATTGGACCATGGTGTTTCAGACACCATTTTATGGCAGGTAGCCACCATTTTTTTAATAACTTCATGGCTTCTTTGTTTGTGTATTGCCCTTTGGCTGCCAGGACCAGGCACTGCTTGCCATTTTACACAGCACTATGTCAGAAGAAGTCTCTTCTTTTCTGCACATGGAGACCACTGCCTGAGACAGGGCAGTGTGGGGTATGCAGTTTGATGCTCAGTTTCAAGTATTCATGTATTTATACAGAGTGATGTACTTTCCCATAATGATTGTGTTTGAATTACATTTCCATAACTTGTTTAATGATTTGCAACACAGAAATACCATCATAAAGAGAACACTTTGTATGTAGGCATATTGGCTGTGTTATTGATAGCTTTCAGCAAAAGCAGTTCTGTTCCAAATAATAGCTTTCGTATATCATAATTTTGCTAAATGTTCAGCATGTATTATTCCAAATATTTAATTGTAGTCCAGATATCCTTTTACAGTTGTTGTTTGTTTGTTTTTGCTAGAGCACTTTTTAAAGCAATGATCTAGAAAACAGGGCACATGCAAATAGCTTCAGTGTGTGAGTCATTAGACCTTTTATGATGTTATGTGTTACAGAGAAATGAGTCATTTATTGTTTAAAGGAAGACACAGCTGTTACGTTTTCTAGTGAGATAAAACCTCTGTGCTGTTTTCTATAAATGGAAAAAGTCAAATGAGCTGTCCTCTCAGCTGTTGTTTCAGCAGCTGACTGTTAAAGTAACTGTGGTGCAAATGTAGTACTGGTGTTTGTAGAAAATCTTTCAAAGTATACTTTAATGATATACAACCTATATTGAAAAGCAGTCATTACTTCAATAAACTTTGATAATATTATATATTGTTGTAAATCTTGCATTCAAGTAGTTGTATTTTGTATTTTGATCCTGTTTCCATTACATTCAAAGAACATTTTACCATATGGGTGGGGACTTCAAATTGAATTATTTTGGAAAGCAAAACTTTACCTGAAAAAACACATATTTTATGTCTAAATGGTAGTGTTTGATTTAAAACCAAATGGCTATTAAGAAGCAGCCCAAAATTTCGAGGCCTTAATATCTGAAGAAATTGTATATGTGATATGGTTATGTATAAAAATAATCTTAGAACAAGGGCAATTGATACAAAGTTATGGAGTCTTTTAGTATCTTTGTGACTGCAGCAATGAACTGTATTAAGCAACTCTGAAAAAGTGAACAGTAGTTAAAACTGACAACTTGATTAATAATATTTCTATTTCAGAATATTTAGTAACATGTATCTGTGCAATCTTGCTCATAGCTGTCTCACTGAGGGTCAGATTCTGCTCTCCTTACTCATGTCAAATAATTTATTACATTACACATAATCTTACTGATTCAATGTGGAGAATGATGGCAAAACCTGACCATAGTGACTAAGAGCAACAGTTGCTTCTTTCAGTCTTTGACAGCTGCAAGAACAACTCTGTTTTTCCAAACCGTCCATCCCAAATTCCGACCTGTAGGAGTATGTACCTATATTTAGCTAGTGAGATTAAGTTGCAGAGGCTTCAAGCAGGGCAAAAAGCACATTGGTCTGCCTTTTTCACAGACAAACCTTTGGGCAGACAACAGCTAAAGCTTTCTACTCCCTCCCCTTTCCCAAGTGTTTGCGAAATGGATTCCCAAAGGGAACTCACTGAAGAGCTCAGACTTTATCAATCCACCCTCCTTCAGGATGGCCTCAAGGAACTCCTTGAAGAGAAAAAGTTTGTAGATTGCTCTCTAAAAGCTGGTGACAGAAGCCTGCCTTGCCACAGATTGATTCTGTCGGCATGTAGCCCTTATTTTCGTGAGTATTTCTTATCTGAGCAAAATGAAGAGAAAAAGAAGGAAGTAGTTCTAGATAATGTTGACCCCAACATCTTGGATATGATTGTCAAATACCTTTATTCAGCAAGTATTGATCTCAATGATTCTAACGTGCAAGATATTTTTGCTTTGGCCAGCCGCTTTCAGATCCCTTCTGTATTCACTGTGTGTGTCTCCTACCTTCAGAAGAGACTTGCTGTTGGTAACTGTCTGGCCATCCTTCGGTTAGGTGTTCTGCTTGATTGCCCAAGACTTGCATTTTCTGCCCGTGATTTTGTTTCAGATCACTTTGTGCAGATCTGCAAAGAAGAGGACTTCATGCAGCTTGCCCCTCATGAACTTATCTCAGTTATTTCACCTGACAGTTTAAATGTAGAGAAGGAAGAACTGGTATTTGAAGCAGTAATGAGATGGGTCCGAACAGACAAGGAGAACAGAGTAAAAAGCCTGGTGGAAATTTTTGACTGCATACGTTTTCGTCTAATGCCAGAAAAATATTTCAAAGAACAGGTTGAGAAGGATGATATAATTAAAAGCAACTCAGATCTTCAGAAAAAAGTAAAGATTATTAAGGATGCTTTTGCTGGAAAACTGCCTGATTCTAGCAAAAGCACAGAAAAGTCAACCAAAGGGGAAGTGAATGGCGATGTAGGAGATGAAGATTTACTGCCTGGCTACCTAAATGACCTTCCCAGGCATGGCATGTTCGTCAAAGACCTGATTCTTCTGGTTAATGACACAGCTGCAGTAGCTTATGATCCTCTTGAAAATGAATGCTACCTAGCAGCCCTTGCAGAACAGATTCCCAGAAATCATTCCAGTATAGTCACCAAACAAAATCAGGTCTATATTGTTGGAGGACTCTATGTGGAAGAGGAGAACAAGGATCAGCCTTTCCAGTCATACTTCTTCCAGGTACAAGCTTTATAATTGTTGGTATAATAATAAGTGCTTATAAGGGTTACTGAAAAGTGTCTCTGTGCAAGTGAGTTGTCTAGTGTCTTTGTATGGTGATGGAGAGAAGTATCTAGAGAGAGTTATTTTTGTCTGAGACAGAAATGAAATGGAGGGACTTGCATCTTCTTTTTCAAGATTAACCCCTGGTGAGATCTCAGAAAATATGAAAAAGATAAGTATATTCTCTCTAGGCACTGGCTTTCATTAAGGCCCAGATTTTTCATTGTACAGATGTCTAAATTTAGGTCTAATAATATTTTTGTAAACTACTTCTTGTGTATTTTTGTTAACTTTGATTAAAGTTGGAGTGCTTTAGCTGGTTTAGACCTGATGTCTTTTGCATCTGAAATACTTTCATGACAGCAGTAATGTGTGTATTTTAAGTGCAATTTATGCCACTAAAATTACAAAGTCCTTTTTGTCATATCTACATTTGAAAGCCTATGGGCCATATAAATATGTAATTTAGAGGCAGAAGGTTTTTTTCTTGACAAACTGCCAGTACACTAAATACCATATTTCAACTGAGTGTAATTGTATATCTTTGTAATAAGGCTGATGAGTACTAACTGTAACTCCACAATATATTTCAGGAAAATTAGCAAAAATGCAGTATGTCATGCTTATACCATAAACTAAGTCTGTTGTGTTTTTAGCTACATGCTTTGGTGTATATTTAAACTATTTTTTGCTGAATTATGCAATATGCATAATTTAGGCACACTGATCTGAAAGAGTAAAAGTAAGCCCTGTTTCAATATGAAATAAAGCAGAGTAATGAGCAGTGATAGAATTTTGAAGCCTTCAGATATTAAAAAATGCAAATATTGTTTATAGGAGTATGGCTTGCTCATTTCACACACAATAAAAGACTTGGTTTCAGACATTTGTTACATTGATGAGAGGGAAATCTTAGTTTGTAGGGAAGGGACTAACACTGTTTCATTTCCTTATGTAGGTGTAAAGCACTAATCACTGAAGTGAAAAACTTGTTACAAAAATATTCTTCCAATAGAAGTAACACATTGATGTAGTAATGTGTATTTGGTCCAGAACTGAGTAAGTCTCACGCTACTAGAAAGGGGCCTCTGAGAAACTAAACCTCAAGACTGATACTAAAAATAGATGTTTTTGAAATTCTACTTTATATGTCGACATCCATTTCCTGAAATCATGTTTGCTTGTCATCTTTAAGCTTGCTTACTGCTGCTATTCCCTAGTTAACAATACTGGTCTGCATTATCCATGTGGCTGTTCTCTTAAAAATATTAATGCAGTGCCAAACCAATTTTCACTTGCTGGTCTTCCTTTTTCTACCAGTGAAGCATTGCATTTGGTAGCTTGCAACCTGGGAGAAAACAAGGCTGCCAGTGGCTCGAAAATGCATGACAAATTGATGCCCTATCAACAGTAGTAGATATGTCATCTTGAAGACTTAAAAAGTAAGCTGTGATCCCTGAGGGGTACATCTTCCTATTACCCCACCCAGATCCAGCTACTGGGAAAATCTGTGTCCACAAACTACATTTCACTGTTGAAATAAAACTGTCTGTCCAACAGGGATGGTCTGTCAAATTTGGGAAATGCACTTAGGATGGAAACCTTGACTGTGGAACATACTTCTGGAAGAAGAATGTCACCAAGCGAAATCCTGAACTTTATTTTGACTGAACTTTTTACCTTCTATCAAATGCCTTTACACCCACCCAAACTTATCTTACCCTCCCTTCCTATACCAGTGTCCAGCAAATCTATATACAGTAGATCTGAGAAAATATTTCTTTTTCAACGTTAGAGGTAATTCAGGTTCAATCAAAAATTCTCAGATCAAAACAAAAAATAAGTACCACAGTTCTAGGAAAATCCTGGTTTATTTTGTCATCTGTCCTCCTGCTGCTACTTCTCCTTAGGTGTTTTTGGCATACTGCATGTTAATTAATTGAGAGAGCCCTGAGAGTACTACAGTAGAAATGGCATCAGTATTACCGCTGAGGGAGGCTGCAATGATTTCCTATTTTGCTTAGGAGTGAGGTGGTTTTTGTGTCTTCAGAGATCTCATGAACTTTTGAGGGTATTTGTGATGAAACACACATCTGTGCCCTAGGGTTTGCAAAACAAACATCTGTGCCATGTGATGCCTCCTGATCAGTAAGAAGAACCATGTAAGCAAGTCTGGCACCTCACTGTAGCAATGAGCACAACCAGCTAAACATACAGGTGTGGAACTGCAGGAGTGGCTGCTCCCTCGGGCAGGAAGAAGAACCACTTGTTCTTTCCAACGTGATAGGGAACCGAGAGTGCGGGACCTTTGTGTAAGGAAGAAAAGCCTAACAAAGAGGCAAGGAAACACTGAGGGTGAGCAGACACAAAGAGAGTTGTACGGCATTGACTCTGCTAGATCTCAGCACAATGAAGCATGGGTGGGTAGAAGACATCATTCATTAGCTGCACTGAGGGAAAGGCACGTTGTTCAGGCAAGCAGATTTGTTGCTGAGAGACACTGAGTGCCAATAGATAAATTCTGTGGAACAATATTCATTGTGTGGATTTTTAGTCTTTGCCTTTGCTAACCCTTCCTGTTCTGATGCTCTTTCAGCTGGATAGCATTGCTGGTGAGTGGGTTGCCCTTCCTCCACTGCCGTCAGCCAGGTGTCTCTTCGGGCTGGGAGAGTCAGACAACAAGATCTATGTGATAGCAGGCAAGGACCTTCGCACGGAGGAGTCGCTAGATTCAGTCTTGTGCTATGACCCTGTGTATGTTTCAAATTTCATTACGCCCACTGAGGACATGTAGTTGGCCCATTGTTAGTTGAAAAAACCTAACAGTGATCTTCTTGTTCCAGGGCAATGAAATGGGGTGAGATCAAAAAACTGCCCATCAAAGTATATGGCCATGCAACTATCTCAAACAATGGACTGATATATTGTCTTGGTGGAAAAACTGATGATAAGTGAGTCTCTAAGTCTTTATATGACAATAACTTTATCTTCTTGGTCCTTAGTAGATAATATGTCCTCACACTCAGAAATGACGTTTTCCCTTTTCTGCATCTCTGGATTAAGGTTGGTAACAGTCTGGTAGAAGGGAACACATTATGGTATGTAGGATATATTTTTTAGTAATAAGGTAAATTACATGTAAATTGTAATCCAACTTGCTTTTTTAATAACCATACTTATTTCCAAGGTAAATTTTACTTACACTGCAGACAAATTAGTAATACCTAGCTATGAGGACATTCACTGAAAGAACTCTTTCCTTTCAGATAGAAATATCTAGGTGCCCTGGATTTACAGTCTCAGTTTTTCCAATTTTCTGGCCTGTGATACCTATTATACCTTATTGGAAATGACATTAGGAAAATATAAGTTTTCTCTCACCCTGAATATGGGGTGGTAATTTTTAAGTGTTTTATAGGGGATATTTAAGATAAAAGTTTGTTGTATCAGCCAAAACACCATCATCTTTCCTTTACATAAGCTTTGCTATATATTCCTCCACAAATCCATCTAAATACAATATGCTAGGAAAGGATGTTGTCTTTCTCCTCAAAAGTACAGTGAAATGGCTGCCCTGTGTAATGTAAACCACATTTGATTTAGTCCTATGGATGTGAGTAATGCTTGTAGACATTGCAAGGATTCTCAGATTAGATAGAATAAAGGATTCTCCAGGAGAGGAAAGAGGTGGTATAGATAAACCCATACAGTCTACCTCAATTAGATCTACTTGGAACAAGTCAAAAGTTCATTAGAAATGATCACCATTTTTCTTTTTGCTCCCCAGGAAATGCACTAATAGATTATTTGTGTACAATCCCAAGAAAGGAGACTGGAGAGACCTGGCTCCAATGAAAGTGCCTCGCTCCATGTTTGGAACAGCCATCCATAAAGGCAAGATTGTCATTGCAGGTGGTGTCACTGAGGAAGGCCTTACTGCATCTGTTGAAGCTTTTGATCTGACCACCAATAAGTGAGTGCAATATTCAAGCTATTTTAATCAAGTGTTTTATCATCTAGGCTTTTAGGAGCCCTGAGATAAGAGTCACAAAGCTGTTCAGGTACCTATCCTCTCACTGAGACATTTGGTCTACAGTCACATCTTCAGCAACAACAGCAGCAGTTTACAGAGCAGGTCTCTAGATGTTTTTCCTGCACCTGCACACACTGCAATTACTATGCTAATACTATTTGAAATAAATATGCATTTTGGAAACTGTAAGGAGAAATGAGAATAACTGGGGAACAATATGTCTGTATGAAGTATATTACTTCAGGGAATCTGTAAGAAGTTGTCCCTCGGAAGAGATGTCTTAACAGTGTAATTGTGTCACTTAAGTTGCACAAGTCCCTGAGGGGATGGAGACACTGGAACTTACTGCTGATCAATCTCAGAATTTTTTTCTTTTAATAAACCATGGTCTTGATACCTGAATTTCTTGCCCAGACAAGTATTTTAGTGCATTCAGTTTGCAATATTTCTTATGTGTTTAACTTGACTTTTTCTTTTGATCCTTAGATGGGAGCTAATGCCTGAATTTCCCCAAGAGAGAAGTTCCATTAGTTTAGTCACTTTAAGCGGAGCTTTATATGCTATTGGAGGCTTTGCAATGATTCAGCTTGAATCTAAAGAATTTGCACCTAGTGAAGTCACTGACATATGGAAGTAAGTTTAATTTTAGTCACTGTTTCCTGGTCTAAAGTCTTATCTAAAATTGAGGTTTGTAGACACTGGAGGCTAACACTATTTACAGCACAGGCTGTAAAGCATTTGTTGACAGATTAAAAAGTTTGTCAGAAAGTAACTAATAAATGTGAGGCCTGGATCTAATGACTACTTCCACCTACTAATTATTTGACCAGTCCAAGTCATGATCTTCAGTTTCTTTCAAAGAGTAAATTGCCACCTTGGCATGTTTAGCCTTGCCAATAAAAGCATTTTTTTGTGACACTGATGCAGCAAAGCATGTATCTACTGAGGCCTGTATATACTGATGGTCAAATGAGTAACTGTTCCAAGAGAATCACAAGTCCCTATCTCCTAGGTTTTTTTGAGCTAATCAGAGCAGCAGTAATGAGACACCATATCTCTGCTGTGACTCTTAGATGCTAATGTAAATTCAGAAGCTTTAGTTGGCAGTAGGAAGGAAAACCTCCCAAATTTATATGCAAGAATCTGAAGAAATTCAGAAGGGATGCTTAAGGAGGAAGCTTTTTTAAAGCATGACACAGGTCAGCAACAAGCTTTAGGGACCAGGAAAAGAACAGCTTATGTGCATGAACATCTTTCTGTTCTGGAGTAGAGGACAAAAGCAGCCTTTTGTGGCACCCTTCAGCACATGCTTGCTACAAGCCTTTGCAACAGATGGACTATCGTCCTTTCCATGTATGTGTGCTGAAGCATCAAACTCAAATTCAAAGAAGCTATTTTCTAACTTTTTTTTTTAAAATGCAGGTATGATGATGAGAAGAAAGAATGGGTTGGCATACTGAAAGAGATCCGATATGCTACTGGAGCCTCCTGCCTGGCCACACGCTTAAACCTCTTCAAGTTATCAAAACTGTAAACAAAATGCTGGAAGATACGATATGGTGAGGGAGTTTTGACAGGCTGTTCTGGTTTTGTTGCATGAAAATGTCCCCAGATTGTACAGTTTTATAGCAGCATACTAGTCATACTGGGAACTGTTAAATAGTTCATTTGTCCCTCCACTTATTAAGATATTTTCTAGGTAACCAGCAACCACTGAATTTTTGCCAGTGTTTAAATTTCTAAAGGGTTAAAATTAATATTGATTAGATTAAGATTTTGGCAAGAACTCAGTTTTCCACTCTGTGAAATTGCAAACAACACTAGTTAGCTTTCCTTGCACTCAATACAATCCAGGTATTGGTGGCTTGTCCTCCAAACAATGTGCATGAATTAATTGTTAAGTTAAATACAACTAATAGGTAGCTAATTTTATTCTAACTGGCTGTTTGTATGGCCAGATTTCCCCTTTTAATAATTTATGTAAATCCTTCACTCTTCAGCGGTATCTTGGAAAAATTCTCATCACAGACCTCAAAAGAAGTTTAGCTTGGCATTGAAATGAATGTTTTAAACAAAAGTGGCTTAATATTATGTGACCTAATAAATGCCAGTCTCAGACAAAGCTATACTAGTAGACAGAGGAGAGGGTAGAGAGAGGAGTTCATAAGGTTAGTAGCTCTACTGTTTTACCTACTATTTTTAGACTTCTAATAACAAGGATTTTCCACTTTTTTAATGCTTTTATATTTATTTCCAAAGCAAATATTTTATGGAAGTTTTTCTCGGAGATCTGAGGCCAATAACAAGCATTCATGAAAAAGTCCTAAAAGAGCTATCTTTAGCAAATACCTGTGACAGAGAGGACTTTTTCATTTACTATAGAGTTGATGCATTTTGACGTTGAAACTTTTAACAATTAAACTTTGTTTTTAAAACTGTAAAAATATCACTTGATGGTGTCTTTTTTTAGTGATTAGCTCATCATCACTATCATATTGACAGGACACATCTCTTAGTACAGACTTTGTCCAAAATAGAGCACTCAGTTTTCTTCAGAGCTTGCTTACCATTTTTTGTCGAGTAGCTCTTCAAAGGATTTCTCCATTTCATAAAAAGGGTGTCATCAATGTAAAGGATTTCATAAATTTAAATCTAAACTGGAAAAGAAGGCCACCACACCTGACTGAATAGCAATGCCAACTATCTTGCATTGCTCTCCTATGAGACAGAAGTAAACATAGGCAGAGGCACAGGCATCATAGTTCATTTCAGTATGTTACTGACCACTAGTACTTAATCTGTGGGGCATTTTCCCTTTAGTACCCACATCTGCAGCTGTGCTTAGCACCTATTTTTATTGGCTCCTGTTAGATCACTGGTTTACACCACTCATCTGCTCTAACACTTGCTGATTTAATATAGAAAGAATGAGTGCAAAGAATCGAGAACAACACATTTTACTGAATTGCTTTTTCTGGTTTTCTTCAATGCCCTTTCAAGACCACTCATATCAAGTTTCAATCCTCTTCCCATTGTGCATACTCATAACTTTACCCATACACAATTTGAAGAGAACTGGCTTGGTACAGTGACTGCTAGAACCCTGAACAGCAGTGTTCACCTCAAGCACGACCACCCTGACTGATAACTTCATCCACTGCCACCTTTCTTATGCTCCGAGGCTGCTACTTGAAGGCTCTGTACAGAAGCAGAGTCACACGAGACCTCTTTGACAGGTAGTCCACCTTCTGAAATACTAACCTGTGATTGTCTTCTCCATTTTATACAAAATCTAATGCACACATAATCTATGTGCTGTGCCTTCAAAAACATTTCCTCAAAGCAGTCATTACATCCTGGAGCCCTTGTCCATTTGATAACCCTGAGTGTCTAGACTACTCTCTGACTAGTTTTGTCAGTCATCCCACAAACATGAGGGCTGCCTCAGGAGGAAAGTACCTTACAGCTTAGATCAGTTCTTCTGTTTTTTTCCTGACTTTCCATTCCTATCCTGACTTGTATTCAGTTAATAAAACATTTTTCTTCTTCTACTGAAGAGTAAAAAAAAAAAAAAAGTGACAGCCAGATGCATAATGGCCAATTCAGATATGTAGTTGCTTATCTCTGCCAGGTTTCAGGTGAAGTGATAAAAGAATGTGTCCTGTCTCTACTAAATAAGCAAGAGAACATATCCTCTTTGCACATGTGAGAAAACAGGCACAGCTGGCAGTCACCCTAAGGTGATGGCAGCTGTAGGCACAATGTGGCTGCCTCTGGAAATGGGATGATTTGCCAAGCATGATGCCCCTGCAGTTACTGCTCCACAATGAACATTCTCCTGGCTATTCCACTTCTTCCTTCTGCATCTCAGTGTCTTACACCTCCTGCGCAAACCCTGGCTGGATTTTCCAGTATGTGAAGGTGTTCCAGAAGGCTCAGCCATTCTTATGCACACAGCAGATCACAGGGTAGGAGCAGCAGCTGGAGGTTCCTCACCACACAACTCTCCCCCAGCACAGTCCTCCACAGTACCTCTGTTCTGAGAATGGAAACTGAAGGGCTCTATAAAAGCAGCCTTATTCTTAGAAAATCTGCATTTCAGTTTCTTGGTTTCAGAGTACAAATACTGTTTGATTCCTAACTGCTTCTTCTGTCACATGCTGGAGAACAGACATAGTTTCCAGTAGATTGCTGACTCCACTCTCCTAGTCAATAGTATTTCCAACTTTTTCTGTGTCTGGCTAAGCCTCTGTGCTATTTATTTAGGAAATAATAATGTAATTTGATTGCAAAACTGCCAGATTCAAGTGGCTGTAGTATCTTCCAGATAATGAGAAATTTTAAGCATCCTTATCACATCTTCACAGCCCACTGTGACCTGCCTTTTGCAATCCCTAAGGAAATGAGGATTAAATCTCTTTACATCTGATGACCTTGGCAAGCTTTTGTCTAGCTGATACAGACAAAGAGGTTTTTGAAACTTCCGTATTCCAGAGACGTTTGATGACACATCAACTGTTTTTATAAAAGTACTTTAGAAGGCATGTCTGATATCACTGTATTCCATATAGCTGCTGTCTCAGGTATTCCAGCTGTTCACTTTTTGTTGACAGAACCATGGAATTCCATTCAAAGTGAGGAATCTGTAGAACAGAATGGTACAAAGTGACTTTTAACATTGGTATAAGCCACATAACACATAAGAGCAAAGAAAAGGCTCTCCAATATCTGTTGTTCTTCACTTGAAGATATTTACCACCTGAGTCCTTCCAAAAGCCTGGCTTACTCTAATACTGAAAAGATCCACTTCTTACTGTAAGATTCTCCTTTATGTAAATACAGTCAGTCTGCTTCCAAAAAGCAGCAAAGTTGCAGAGATATAAAACAGATGCCCACAAAATACAGGCTGTGACAACTCCACTACACCCTCCCCTCTTCTAAAACCCAAATTGAGAGAAAAATCCCAGGTCACTGTAGTTTGTAATGTTAATCTATCAGACTGCAATGGTAATGTAGCAGACTGGAGTAGTGTATCAGTAGTATAACATGAAAAAGGATAATTATTCTATTCAAAAAAACTCCCAACCAACAAAATTTAAGCTTAAAGAAGGATTCTAGCTAAAATTAGATTAGGTGAGTAATTAAATATATAGGAGCCTCTGCATTAATGAGTCTACAATTCCCAAATGTTTCAGTGCTGGTGGTGCATTGTGTCTGGCTTTTAGTGTTCCTTGTCACAGCACTATCATTGCAGCAGACAAACAGCATCCATATCCCTTCTGGCAGCTGCCAAATTGTCTTGTCACTCAAGGATATGTTCAATCTTTTTCTACCATAGAAATCTTCAGTGAATTGAACTGAAACGCTCATTTGACTTTTTCTTCTTTACTTAGGCTACAATGAGATTGCTAGTTTGCCTGCAGTAAGGTCAGACTGGGACCTTTTAACTTCAGTTTTGCTTCACCCTCTTTCAGAGAAGAGTTTTGTGAAGGCCTTTACACCATTTTGAGAACAGCTTAGAGTGTCTCTCCAACTACAAAAAATGCTTTCTCCCAGTAGGTGCTTTTAACAATAAAACTGCCTCTAAATCTGTTGTGAGGAAAATGGATCATTTTGCACTGCTGATACAATCCAGAAAGGACAAAAAATATTGATAACTGCTCACCTGAACAACTCGGTACCCCAGCATTTCCAGGTGTCGCTTTTTCACTGCAGGTTCTCCTTTCAGGTGACGTGAATAATCTTTGCTAAAGGCTTTTGAATCAAGAAATTCCAAAGCAATTCTGCAAACAGTAAAAATGTGCATTTACTTCCAGGTCCTACCTGAATAGCAAGAAGTGATAGTTCTAGTTCAGTATTGATAGTTACAGCAAGACTAGATAAACCTGACAATTCTCAGAAAAGAAAAATTAAACAACTCCCTGGAATTAGACAAAACATTTTCCTCCTATATATCTAGAGATACTTGAATTCAGAAAAAAAAATTTCTCCCTGGATCTGTTTTTGTTCCAATGGTAAAAACAGCTAACCAGCATTTTCAAGGCTTGCATCTGAAAAAGTGGGAGGAAAACACTATTCCAATCTCATGAAACACATGTCAAGAACCTGTACTGGGTTTGGCTGGGATGGAGGTACTCTTCCTCATGCCAGTTTGTATGATGCTGTGTTTTGAACTTGTGACCAGAACTGTCAATAACACACCAGTATCTTGGCTACTGCTGAAAAGGCTTGCACAGCATCAAGGCCTTCCCTGTTTCTCCCTGTGCACCCACAGTGCACACAGGCTGCGTTGACAAGAGGAAGGGACACAGCTGGGAGGGAGCCCCAGCTGCCTGAAGTGGTATTTCACACCATACAACATCATGCTCAGCAGTAAAGCAGAGGGGACTTCATCCCACACAGCCATTGCTCTGGCACAGGTCTGCTGAATGACTGCATGCCCATCAATTGCTTTGTTTCTCCCTCCCCCTTTTTTTTCCTCTCCACTTATTAAACTGCCTTAATTGCAACCCAGGAGTTTTCTTCCTTGCTGTTTCCCTCCACATTCTCTCCCCCATCACACTGCAGGGGCATGAGCCATGCCATGCAAGTGGGAGGGAGCAGCTGTGGCTAACCCACCACACCCCAAAAGGCTAAACCTCATTAGACTTTGGAAAAAAGGAACAGAACATTAGGACACGAGCATCAAAAACCCAATCTGAACTGCATGTAAGCTTGGAAGAGCTAATGTGCAAGAATTCAGTGTACTGACCTTTGAGCTCCTGGTGGCAGAGCCTTTCTCCCTTCATCCTTGATGTCATGTCTCAAGTGTATTCCCCCCACACCACCCAAAGCTATATTCTGAGCCACATAGGAAAGAGGCTTTTTATTTACATCCAGGACACACTCAAAATCTGCCAGAAAACAAAACAAACCTGTTTACTGACAAAATAAAAACAGAAGAATTTGATCTGTACAATGTTTCCATCAGAAAAACTGATAGCCATAATTAGAGATAGCCAACATTATTTATACTATAAAGAATGTTTTGGAAACTGTATTTTATACAACAATTTCTTCTTTGCAATATCTTGTGTTATTTCAGGGCCATATGACCAGGAGCTTCCTAATCTTGGTAATAAGTGATATGAAAGGACTTCATAACAATTTTTAGAGTATTAACTTCTCACCTATTTCATAGTAGTATGGTGTGACAACAGATACTCTTGAGTAATGGCTCCCTCCTAAGATCTCTGTCAGCATCCTGTGAATATGCTGTCGCTGTGGATTTATTTGGCTCATGCCTACAAAGACAAAATAAAGAATTCATACATCAAAATTTCCACAGCCAAAATTCTGAAAATAGTGCTTTGAGACATTGTATTTTTGACAGCCAGGCTACTGAATTAAATCTTTTCCACAGACCCCAAGTGCTACTCCATCATAATTCAGAGACAAAGTGATCCTATTTTAGCTAGAAAGTGGCAGGTGCATGCTATTAAGTAAATTTCAAATCCAGAGTTTGGATCCCAGGATTTTTTCATTCACATGCTACAAAACCTCAAGTTTTAGGTTTCACCTGGTGGATTTTGTTTCCTTTTAGTTATGTTTAGATATGTATTTACTCACCTTTGGTTTATTACAGCCATATCACACTATCTGCCACTTCTCTGTCCATTGCAGATTAACACCTTGCTCCATTAAACATCTTCAGTCTTAGAGACAAAGTAGCTGAGTTCTGTGGATAGCACAGCAGATCTCCTCATGAGAATTAGTGGAGGAGATACTGTGTTTGCATTAGATGGATTCTGAATTGATCACTATTCTGAAAGATCTCGGCTGCTACACTTGATCATTAGCCTACTTCTCTGTCTCTCATCCCTGATGAATCTTGATTCTTGTGAAGAAAAAGGGAGGATCAAGTTCAAAATGAGGCAGTAAAAATGTTTACCTTGAAAAATTTAAGTCAAATGTTCAGTTTTCTAAGTGAAGCAGGGAGCAAAATGACCCATCTCCTCCAGTACAGAATAATCTTCTTCCTGCCTTTCCATCCTTCATGCCATATACACTGTTTCTGTGTATTTAAATTTTAATTCTTCTGCAGAAACATCCCATCTCTACTACATTAATTCTCACAAGGAAAACCAGTTTGCTCCCAGTTACACTACTAAGTGGTTGCACTACTAAATGCTCAGCAGAGAGGGGTCTGCCTTCTATTGTGTGCTAGTGTCAGTATGACAGTTTTAGAAGAAACATCTAGTGTATTGCTAAAAAAATAGACTATTATGAGTAACAAGGGCAGTTTTTCCTGTCCTAAATTACTTACTGTTATGAAAGACACGTTTGCAGTATGGCTCATGAAACCAGGGGATGTGAAACTCTGGGCACTCCAGACAGACTGCTCTGTTCAATTTCATGAGGCTCAAGTGGACTCTCTTCTTCACCGTATCAGGCAGGACTGATTAAAAAGAAACAACAAAACAACATAGAAATGTGTGAACTGAAAAGTGAAAAATCCAGCAAACTGAACTAAATGGTAACCTCTGCATTTTTTACTAGAAACACAAGTATCTGTATACTATAGCATTTACACAACTCATGCTGCAGAATTTTAGAAACGTTCTCAAAATCCCTGAGAAAATAAATGAAAAAAACACAGTTCTGCTCAACATTAAGAAAGACAGCAAGACAGAAGACAGAAATTGCTTCTATTGTGTAAATTTAATTAAGTAGTTGAGGGCAAAATGGCAAGAGTACATTGATAATGAACAACGTAGGGGTAGAGAAACAGCCAAACACTCAGTCTCTTATTTAGAGGAAAGAGACAGGTAGGATACATTTCTTGCAGACAAGAATTCCTTCAGCTTTGTGATTACTTCTAGTAATAAACACCACAGTCAGGCAATTTTATTTCCAATAAAATTGAAGAATTATTAAATACAGAGTGCAATAAGATGACTATAAAATTCATTTTATATTACTTTCTGTCATCTGCAATACAGGTCTGTACTTTTAAAACAAAGAACATATTTTTGTTCATTCCTGCCCTTTTAGCACTCAAACTATGACTATATTATAAAGATGGTGTCTTTCCCAAAAGCAGAATAATTTAAAGAGTAATTCTATATCTGAAGTCATATGTAAGTCCAAATTGCATTTTATGCCAAATGCCACACAATCAAATTCATCAAAAGCTAGATAGTTACCTTTAAGTTGAGCATCCAGTTTGCTTAGGAAGGAAACATTAAATATTGTTGTTATCAGAACTGGAGGAAAATATCCAGCCATTGCCAAAACATGACCAAGCAGCACCAAGTGATAAGTTTCAAGATGACCTTGAAAAACCAGAGAGAAACCCATATTAACACAAGACAAAGCTGAAAGGATTCGCAATGCCCTCTCCCTGGCCTCTCAAATCATCTGATTTTCCCCCCTAATGTACAACACAAATCCATACACACTTCTTCTACAATTTTCACTATTTCTTTGTCATGAATAGCAAAATGTACCCTGTTCCCAAATGATGATTCCTTAGGGAACACAACAATTCTCTCCAATAACAGCACATTGAATTAATCAGAATTTTCACTTATATTTTACTATGCCAAAAAATCCTTTGCTAGTCCCTTATCAATAGTCATTTTTAGCAGGTGAAGCAAAACCCAAAATTGAATATTTGTCATGTTTTAACCCCAGTAGGCAGAGTATTAGCAGTAACATTTTGTTTTGCTTAACAAAAGTACTATTCTATTCCCATTTTTATTCAGTAAAAATCTTTGTCTATTGCACTTACTCAAGTTAGAGGTAAGATGTTGGATACAACTCTTAAAGAATTCTTCATTGTCAGGAGGGTCATAATTCAAAGCAGAGAAAAGGAAGAGAATAAAATAGATTTCAGAGGTGGGAATCTGAAAAAAAGACATCCTAAATCAAGTTACTGCAAAATATCCTAATATGGCTTTATAATAAAGAAAAGCTTTATAATTAATTCAGAATTTGGAGATTTAGGAGTAGATTAACTATTTTCTATTTTGTTTTCTTTGGTCAACTCTTCCTAGACAAAATAATAAAAAATAAAATTGTTAAAACTGCACCACAACTAAAAATTTATTTCATGTAGGCAATCCAAGTTGTTTCTATACACTTAAAGAAACTTTTAAGAAGGTTTTGCATTAAGTGTTCTTAAAGAAACTAAACTGCAACATAATAAAATTGAAGATTTATATGAACACCAGATTGAGAGTGAAAAAAAGAGTAATTTTGACCAAATAGACAGGCTATTAGAGAAATCCCCACAGCAATTAGTACTCTTAAAATATCCACCATGTGATATGATATTTATCAAGAAGTTAAAAAAAATTTAAGATGGTCAAATGTAAAGTTGAATGTAAATGATTATGGCTGATCTGACACTGAATGAACAATAAAGAAATTAAAATTAACGATAAGTGCAAATTTATATACATAGAAGTAAAATGGCTTTAAGTGAGCACAAAAAAGATGATCTCCAAATCAGCTACACTAAAGAAAACTGTTAAAAACATGTGTGGATTGTGCTCTGAAACACACCAACTACTAATGTGTCCTTTCTTACTGAATAACTCACAGTAGATAGAAAGAAAAACTGGGGCACCTTGTCTATATTTTCAACTGTCACAGATGCTATTCTGTCAAATAATGCAGGACAACGATGCTCTGATTTTATGAGAAAATAAGACAAGGGTAAAACATTTGCCCATGTTATTTGATCTCTCAAGTGCTGACACATGGCCAGAGTTTCCTCAGTCAGGACTTCTTCAAACCACTCTCCATTCACATATGGAAGTTCTTCCAACAGAAGATTTAAGTTGTTGGCTTTCTGAAGCCTCTGAAATCCATAGTCATTTAGTTTTTGGAGAAGCTTGGCACAGAGCTCAGAGCTGTTTTGCCAGTGAAACTGGCCATGGTGATTCCACTTGACAAGGGCTGTAGCAATGTAATTCAAGTGATGGAGTCTGCATTGAGGCAAAACTGCTGCTGCTTTGTTTATAATCATTTCCTCCACTTGGAAAGAAGGAAGCATGGCCAGAACACGAATTACAGCTGCAGTATCAGCAGGTATCACGCTAGATTTTAAATAACTGGAAGAGAGATAGAAATAAAAAGTCCATCAGTAGTGACAAAGTGCAAACATTTAAACAAAACAAAAAAAATTACATGCTTGAAACATCTAATTTGGAAGTCAAAAGCTACACATCTAAAATGAAATAAGAAGAATATGAATGACTTGGCAGAAATCCACACATCTTTGTTTTCAGTGAGATTAACTTCTTCCTTGTAATTTATTCAAAACTGAAGAAGGGAAAGAAGACAGTGAGCATCTCAGTCAGCTGGTGAAACTCCACCAGTTCTTAGTAAGGCCAGAAGGTCCACATTTGTCAAGGTTATCTGTATGTTTATGGGCCTGGTTAATTTCTGTGATTTCTGTCCTAGGGAGCACCAGGTTTTGAGGAGTCTGAAGAACATGAAGACATCATCCGCCAAAAAAAAAAAAATTTACAGCCAAGGCATTACATTCCCATAGAGGCTGAGCAATCAAAGCAAGATCTTTTGTCTGGCAACTTTCTGTTTTTCTCTAGAAGCCTAAGAACTAACTGGACCGTTTTCAATCAAAAGAGTACTTCTGTGTCACACTTTCACTTGTCCCAACCAAGGCATTCTGTCTCTTTTTCATTACTTCTTCCTTCAAACATCAAATACAATATTAATATCTACCCATCCTATCAAATACCAGTCAAAATTTATTTTCAACATCGTTATATTACAGTGGTCAGAAGAAAAAGGGAAAAAATATTTTTTAAAGATATCATAAGTATTAGCAGATACTGTTGGGTCTATAGTCAAATCAGTATCTACTTTCCATCATCTGATTTACATGTTTAATAGAATCAAATACTTGCAACAGTTTGTTACTTTCTTGTATTTTATGGGAACAAAACACTAACATCTAAGACTGCTATTTTAAATCTTAAGTAGAGAACTGTTTAAAACTCAAACAGCTACATTTCTAAGAATATACACTTACCCTAACAATAACATTTTTAGTTTGGCAAACAGCTCCAGATCCTGGCAATGCAACGCCACCAAGTACTGCGTTAACTTTACCAGCTGTAACACATGATAGCTATCCAAGTGTTTGTGCAGAACAGAAGCCATCCTGAATACAAGGAGGAAAAGATTACATGGTGTTAAGCTAATACAGAAGATACTGCAAACTCCAACATGCCACATGAAATAGAGGTCTTGTGATGCACAGTACCTAGGTGGAGGGTTTTACACTCCTGCACTAGTCTCCACATTGATTTTGACACTTTTCCACTTAGAGCAGCCTCTCTCAACTTACTGTATTGCAAAATTGAAGTCCTCATCACAACAAATCAGCTACTTCACACTACTAATTTCTGTTGCAGATTTCACAATTGTTTAAATTTAGAGTGGACCAAGAACATAAACTAGAACAGCACCAGCAGCTTCAGCACCACCACACTCACATAACAGTGGTTGCTACAGCTGTGTTGGTCTAAATCTGCAGAGAGGGATAGATCTGTAGGGAAAGGTAATACCCTAAGACCTTCTTTAATCAATGAGACTCAGGAAGAAAAGGTATTAATTCACCTGATCTTCCTTTCCATATCCCTTTGTGCCAGAGAACACAAAAATGTCCTTTTTCTTTCAAGGATCTATTTGATTCATACAAGTACCTTCGATCCAGTAACTGTTCACAACCTGCACTTAACTCTGCTGTATCTCTGACATATCTAATGCTACCTCCCCTGTGCCTGAAACATCAACTTCTCCATTCACTGTATGACAGACACTACCCCTCCCTATAAATAGCTTTCAGCTCCAAACTGTAGAAAATATGGCCCAGGATCTTAAAAACATAAGGTTTAACAGTTCAAAATAGGACACAATGACTTTTGAACAAACAATTCACAAAAGTAACAGGACCTCCAAGGCAGGATATGTTCTCTGCAACTTACCATATTTCATTTGCACTCTCATGAGTTTAGAGTAATTGTTAGAGGTTCAGTTTAGTGCAATAGGACAACACATTTGTAAATTAGACAGATGCTATCCAACAGTAACTTGGTAAGGATGAAATGCCTTTCCTTGAAATTCCTAAATTGCCTCAATTACTTCTGAGTCAAGCTGCAATATTCTAGAATATGTAATAGCCAATAAGTTATAGTGTATATACACTTGTGTGCAAGTGATGCACCCACTGCTCCTAACTTACTGGATATGTCAAAGTTTTCCACACTACATGGAAGTTTACCCAGAGAATACAACTTCTTAGTAATATCAAAAACATTACTTTTTGAGTAGATGAGAATTTCTGCATTTCATTTTCCGCATAGTCTTCAGTATCATCAATACTTGGTGACTGCTAAATTCTTCTGCCATGTTTACTGCAGTTGCTAGCAACCTAAAGAGGAAAAGCATATTTTCCAATGAAAAACAGTTGAAAATCTCTGACAAAGACTGCAGCCAGTTTTTCTACCTATGAGGAAAAGAACCAAAGACTATTTCTGGAAGCAAAATTCTCCCAAACTAGAGACTTTTGTTCTGTGGACTTTTCTTCTAAACAGCTGGTCTGTCTAGCACAGATAAAGGGGTGTGAGTGTGTTGGAACAGTGCATGTTGTTCTGATGCTAGATGCTAGCAAGTCCAACAATTCTAAAAGTAGACAAGAAGTAGGGAAGGCACTCTAAGACCTAGAACAATTCATGATCAATCAGCAAGTTACAGATAACAGAATCAAACATGAACTGTACTGCTTCTGTGGTAATTAAAGACAATGTTTATCATAAACAATATAAATTTAAAAAAAATTAAGAAAAGCTTTTGGAACTAAATCAGCTATGGCAAAACCAACACAGGCTTGCAGCATGTCCAAAATCTCTGAATAAAGGAAATGTTCATGAAGAAAAGTATGAATATATGACTCATTGTAATTAATACAGAAAATTCTGCCTAGAACTGCATGCTTTGAGAGACCCATGAGTAACATCATCCCCAAAGAGGATTTTGTGGCACAAGAAAAACAGGCAAAGGAAAAAAAAATGTGTCACACAATACTGTGCTCTAAATAAATGCTGAAGTGTTCTCCGATGATGATCTTTCATAAAGAATAAGATGTCAGCAATCTAGTATAGGACAAACTCAGGCTTTTTCAGCTACTGACAGTCTTTAAAAGGAAAAAGCAACACGTATCACTGCATGTATTTCTCAGGAGAAAGACAGAAAGGTTTTTACTACCACCCTCAGTGAAAGGAAGGCTGTAATCTAAGAGACAGAACTACAGGATGCAAAACAGCATTCACATCCCCCTTAATTGATGGATCTGATTCAACTTAATAAAACATACTGCTTTGACAGTGTTTCCATGATGAAATCATCCATTGCTACAATGTTACAACCAGGAAACCTAAGGCTCAGCTCACAGATGGGCTCAGAAATTCCTCCAAACATGGGTACATTTTTAATTTCTGTGTAAGAATACATGTATAATAAATAAGACAAAATTATTAATAACTTACCTTTCTCTAACCTTGGATCCTGCCATAGGCCCAAGAGAAAAAAATAACTTTGCAAATCTTTCAGGATCAAAATGATCATCTACAGTTTCAGATAGCAGCTGTTTAGCAATCAAGCGAAATTCAGCATTGTCAAAACCCAGCTGCTCATACAGTCCAAAAATATGACTAATACTGCGTATATCAAGATGAGAGGCACTTTTAAGGAAAATCCTGTTGCATTTTTCCAGCAGTGGATGATATTTCAGTTTAACAGTTTGGAGAAACTGTAATGTTCTTCTGGCATAGTTGAAGTGGGCTTCATGCTCTTCTAAGAGCTGTTCAGCCTTGTGTAGTAATCGATCTCGAAAACTCTCCGTGATAACTTCAGATATGCTGATCATCAAAACTGACAAGATCCTAAAAAATTCAAAAGGTTTCCTATTTACACGTTGGACACAGTAAGCAATACATTTTATATTTATTAAATGAAGTGCACAAAGAAAGGAAAGGTAGTTGATGTGTTGTTAGCTTCTGTGCAAAAAGAATTTTAAATCTAATGCAGAAAACATGGATGAGTAAAACCATTTATCCTACTAAAGTAAAAATTCTGCTTTCAGTGAACTTCTGAAATTATTCAAATTTTTCAGCCATGATAAAAGTATTTGCCTAAGGCAAGACCCTGATTTGCCTGATTCATATTTGCAAAAATATCTTTAACGTTCAATAGACACTAAAGAAGCCCAAACAATTCATAAGTGACAGCATGAGGAGAAGAGTCATTGTCACTCCTAAAGAAAGACTCCCTTCCTAAGGGAATAAAACTTACGAACACAGAGAAATTGATTTCAGTAAAGAAATGCAGTCCTGTTCAAGGAGTTTCATAAGCAGGCTGCTCACATCTGAAAAAATCAGTGTTGGGACTGCTGGTGTTATATAAAGCAGAAGAAAGAAAGAGAAGCCTTTGCTGTAACAGCCCCAGGGGAACAGAAACAAGAAAAAAAGAGCTTGGTCTTCTTTGACTAGGGCTATGTTTAAAGTAGTTTAAGTATGAAGGTGATGTGCTAGACACGTTAGCAAGATAATTTATTAATTCAGTTTGACCAGAAAAACAATGCTCTGAAGATAAATAAACACAATATTGCTTTAAAACCTGTTACTGCTGTTTTCAAAGACACGTCAAGGTAGAGAAACTATCAATATCAAGGGAGAAAAAAGGGAGAAAAGCATCTTCTGGTGAGTCAATAGCTTCTAAATTACCAAAAAAAAAGTCCATATTTCGAATCAGGATAATGCTGATTGTAAATATCTGCTGTACTGTAAGTAGAACAGTGGAAATTAATTAAATTTCTATAAATTAAACAACCAAGCCGTAGTTTCAATTATTTAGACTGGTTATAAGGAAATTCTTCGTAAAGTCATTGAGAAAAGGCATTCTCTTGTCAATCAATGCACAAATACAAAACACTTCCTTCCCACAAACCCCCAGCTGAAGCAAAGCTGCCTCCAGTTGAGGAAAAGGGAAAGTTCAGAAAAGACAGACCAGTAATTGCAACATTTTTCTTCTTCTGCTTCTGCCACTTACCTTATATCCTGTATAGAATCCAGTTTCATGTCCACAATATGAGCAACTTGGCCAATTATGGGACTGAAGTGCCTGTGTTGCTTGTATAAGCACAGAGCGAATTTGGACAGAGCAGGCAAACTAAGCCTGTCAAGACATTAAAGACAGTCAGACAGGATATCTACCTTTTATTTCTAGTCAATAATTAAAGACAAAAATCTATTTTAACAATTATATAAAATCCAAGGTTATAGTCAAATTACAAAACAAGGAAACAAAGTATCTAAGCAAAAATCCTAGGTGTTTAATATTAAAGCATGTTGTGTATATGGAGTTCTACAAGAATTAGTTGTCTTTCACTTAACCAGCCTAAGAAATCTATAGAGATTATATTCTCAAGCAATTATGTCAAATTAATAAAATCAATGTGAGCAATTTATTACTTGAATATAATTTTGTTTTTAAGCTACACTGTATTTATTTACTTCAAGATGCTCTACATATTAAGAAGAGGCAATTCTGTGATGCGGGTACAAAGACCAACACTCAGTTCTGCCATTATCCCATGTAAACTACAATATGCCTCCTCCAAAAAGAAATCAAAAGACAACAAAATACAACAACAAAATGCACAAAGGGAAAATGTTGCTGTTTAAATACAAAATGTTTTATAAAAATTGATATAAGCATGTTCTAATAACCATTTAAGACCTGGTCAGCAAGCACGGAGGTAAAATTGTAAATATGAAAACCTGCAATTCATTTCAAAATAAATCTACACAGATAATATATTCAAAAATCTCAAATGTTGGACCCTGTTGTTGCAGCATCTGAATCTCAAGCATTTATGTACCAAATAATTTGTGTCATTTTCAAAACCTTCAAAAATACAACTGACATTTAAAATACTCATATTTTAAACATAAATTCTCTTTGAGAACTCTTGAGTAACCTCACATGAAGCAAATCACGCTTGCAGCTTATACCTTTCACAAAGCAGAGCAGGACAATACTTGCCTTTCTAATCTTTTCCATGCTTCTGTAACAAGCACCTTTGCTAGAGAAATATGGTCTTCAACATTGAGCCTTCAAAATAAACACAATGCTTTACTTCAATAGTTATAAAGAAATAAGACATATGTCTTTTCATTATTTATCACAATGTTTTACTTTTCTATCATTCCCTCCATTCAAACAGATTGTAAACATTTGTGCATGAATAATCAGAATTCATAATAATCATAAAACATATTCAATGGGACTGCAAAACAGATATGTTCTGCCTGTACTCTCTCCAAAACTGAGGCACAGGACATTATGCTGTCTGTGTCACACAGTCAAGAGTACAGGGCAGTCTCATCACAGTCTCCTCATGAGACAGCTCTGTAGTCAAAATTCCTTCTTTTTTTTTTACCAAATACAAAATGTATTTCATGCTCTTTACCTCAAGATGCTATACAAGGTGTCCACTATCACCTCATCTTCCATGTGCTCCACCTTGTTTTCTGCCAAAACGCAAAGGGTAAGAAACTGGGAGTGATTTCTTACGTAGTCACTGGTCCTTAAGAGAAAGGGCCTCTTCTTTTGCAATTGCCACAGCATGTTCAATGCATTTCCCACGTGCTTTTCAGAAAGTCTGGCCTTGTTCCTTCCAACAAGGCTGAACACTTCATCTTCATGGGTGCAGTCATTTATCTGGCTCAAAAGCAGATCACTACACAGAGTCCGAGCCTGGTAACGCCTCAGTGTGAACAAGCAAACCTGCCTCACACAAAGCATTTTGCTTCGCCTACCAGTTAGCTTTAAACTGTCCAGAAAGATTCTTCTTTCACTTTTCACAGGCAACCATGCTTTTACAGACAACAAACTCAAATATTTGAAAAACAGCAGACCATTTTTCTTTGATCCTCTATGGTCACTGTATTTAGAAGTCAATTCTGAGGTACCTGAAATGAAAAAGTATCAAAGCACTTAAATTCAGTCAAAACAACCAAGTAAAAATCAGTGTCTCTACATTATGATGTTCTAAGTAAGGTAAACTTAAGAACCTACAGCCTGGACTCTTCTCATAGAAAATCTCCCAACAAAACACTGCCATGCTCACAAGTACTACGAAGTTAGTCCACTTGATAAGTTTTCAAATTTAGAGAACTGCCTTTAAAAGGTCATATCAATGCTAATACTGAGAAGGAAAAGCTGAAGATTTTAACAAGCCAGTACTGCATGACTAAGTGAGGCTTGCTTTCACTAGACCATATTCCCAAACTGAGGTACAGGAACTGCCAGAAAATACAACTACTGGTGGTAAAATGAAGTGAGATGGCTTCTAGTCAAGAAGATTGATCACCTTTGTATTACAGGATACAGGATCAATCACACACCATCAGCTGAAATTGCCATTGCACTAAAGAAAAACAACCTGATTCCAAATTATAATAGAAGCTACAGCCTTATCTAATGGAATTTATTATGCATTCATTTGTTTTCTTAGACTATACCCCTATTTGTACAGAGTGCTAACAACTACATATTCTACAACCTACACAGTTGATTCCAAGCTGGAGTACACAAACCACTAGTGATAAACGTCTTAGTACACCAAAGAACCCTCATCAAATTCCCTCAACTAAGAGATCATGGAAAAGTCTAGAAGTCTTGCTTTAGAAGATATAATCATTAATCAAAAATTATCAATACCTTCAGCAAACTTGAATGCTCTTCAATTGTGGGCATGATTCCATCAGTGCAACATTATCAAGGCGATGGCAGCAGCACCCACTAGGTCTGTTGAGGAAGAAAAAACCTTTTTTGTGCAGCCCGCACCAGGTACTGAGATCATTCCAGAAAGATGGATATAGGTGGATTTCCTTTGACATCTGTACAGTCCTCTTCCTCAAACAAAAAGCTGTACAGCATATTGCACCACACTGCTGTCACTGACACTGGGGCAGATACAAGCAAAGCTAAAATGAAGTAATTTTAATTTATGAACTGCTATAATAAGAAATCTTTTCTTTCCTATTCAAAATTAAAGAATACAAAAAAGGTACAAATTTTTCACATACTATGTATTAAGTACTTTTTATAATAATGATTTGCTTCATAGTCCCTTTTCAGATACTACTTTTTTTTTTCATATGGTAGTTGCCTTTAGCAAGAATTTACTTCTTACATTAGTGGCAAGCTAAGCTGCAAGAAGTCAGGATAAAGTAGATACCTGAAGTAAATATAAACATCTTCAGACTCAGTTGCCTGTAAATCCACGTGACACATCCTTTCCCCTTCTCGTGCTGCAAAAGACTTTGCATATCCTACTGATGGGGAACCAGGATCTTTATCTAAAACAGTTTCAAGAAGCTTCAAAACATTTCTCTATTCCATTGAGAAGATGCAAGTGAATTACCACAAACTTTTATACCATTTTAAATCATAGTAAATTCCAGCATCTTTCAAAAAGTTCATCAATAGAAAACATTGGATATTTTCAAAAAACCAGTTACACAGAGTAAAACGAGAAATTTGGCTCTACTTAAAGAACTATTTCTAAGATGTCCTACTTACCATGCAAAACACACACTAGAAGGACAAGAAGGTCTTTAAAATTATTTTCTATCTATTATTGAAACGCAATAAGCACTTTCAAGTCTGTATTACAAAACACAGCGAGCCAGGAAATATCCCAAAAAGCAGAAAATGCGGACACTCACCACTCCCCAAGAACTGCGAGAGATTTAAGTAACTAAGCCTTAAGAGAGCTGCTTGCGCAGTACAGGCACCGTTCTCGCCTCAGTGAGCCCAGCCGCGGGCAACGCAACAGCCCTGGCCCCGGGTACGAGCCCGGAGAGCCCGCCCGCTGCCACCGGGGAGCGCGGACCCACAGGGCCCCGGAGAGAGCGCGGGAAGGGGAGAGCGCCGCCGGAGGGGCCAGACTCCATTCCCCCTCCGGGGCCGCGGGCACCGCTGAGGGGCGCTCCCGGCAGGCACCGGGAGGCCGGGAAGCGCCGGGAGGCACCGGGCGGGCGGGCACGGCCCAGCTGCCGGCCGGCACGGGGCGGCAGCGGCTGCCAGCGCTGCCTTCAGCGAGGGCTCGTCACACGGCAAACTCCAGCAGCCGGCGGGGTTAAACGAGACCGCAAAGGAGCCAGTGCCAGTTCCGCAGGGCCGGACCCGAGCAGAAGCTCTCGGTTTACCTTCGCTTTCCCGCTTCCCAGGCGCAGCCGGATGCCGCTCCCCGCGCCCACGTGCCCCGGCACCGCCATTGGCCGCGCGCATGTCCCAGGCACGGCGCTTCCCGGAAGGGAGAAAGGGAAAAGTCCGGCCAGTTACGACTTTCCAAAGGAAATAAAAATAATAATTAAAAAGGTCCAAGGTTCATACTGACTACTGCATATTAAATAAAGCAACGTTTTTATAACTCATTCTGAAGTGGGGGAAAGCCTTCCCTGACTAGGAAAAGCACAAAGGGACTGAAGTTCGGAAGGGTAGAGTTGAAGAGCTAAGCTTTGTTGTACTGCAGTTAATGTTATTTTATTTTACCATTTTTTAATGCTTTGCAACAACAATAAATTTAAAATTATGAGTTTTGGGAGAGAAGTGTTGCTTATGTGGAATATGCATAGCTCCAGGTCATCTTCCTGGACCTTTTCTCAGTGATAGCAGCAAAGACATTTAGAAATAATGATAAGAATCTCAGATTGCTCTATATTCCATCCAAAAAGCAGAATTAGGACTATGACCATGACCAGTTCTGACCAGCTGTATTGCAGCTGTCTATCAAATGTTTTGCATTTTTAGTTTTTTTCTGTCATCTCCTAATATATTGGATACCTATGAATATGGAACTCAAACAAATAGAATAGACCCTAAATTATTTATCACAGGTATGTGCTATTTTAGAAAAAGAGCATGTATTTTTTTTTTTAAACTGGATTAGTTACAACTTTTGTAATTGTGGAATTTATAACTTGGACAGGTTCTGTATCATCTTGCTAACAAATTCCAGATTGCCCCAGTTCCAGTTCACACAGGCATGCAAGTAACCCAAACCCTGTCAGGTAAGCTCAAAGGGTGGCACATAAAGTCCCTCTTTCAAGAATGTCAGGCCTTGTGCAAACTCACATAGCAATTCCAAGGCATCTGAGAGGAAAACTGTAGCAGAAAACAATTCCATGTTCATATAAAGGAGACTTCTGTAAATCATAGGTTTTTCATTTACAAGATGCTGAACTTTTCACTTTTGACCTGTGAAGTACATTTGGATAAAATGCCTAAATCAAATTAAAAATGCTAGATAAAATGATGTCAAATTGTAAACTGAAAACATAGGGGAGGAAAGCAAGACTTAACAAAGCATGCTGTGCTGAAGCCAGTGTTGATTTACTGAACAGATGTCCACTCATCAGCTTCTTCAGGATTTCAGAACTCACAGGTGTAGGTTTCACATTTTAAATAGGTTTTGTTGTTGTTTGTTTTTTTTTTTTTTTTCAGAAGATCATAAGGAGATCATTGGGTTTTCTACTTCTAACAAACTTCCCATCAGCCAGTCACATAAGTTGCATTACCTCCCATTATGTATGTGATTACTGACCCAAATGCCTACTGGTTTGAATTAAAACCCATCAAAGGAGGTACATACTTCAGTGCCAGTCTTCCTTAATGCAGAAGGTGCTCACAACTTCAGGCATTGCCATAAACTTTCATTCCTTAATTTTTAGATACATTAACTTTGAATTGCAATACATACATATGGGACACTATAATCAGTTACTCATTTTTTTTGCACAGTTGGCCTAAATTCCCGTTTAAATTCTTTACAAGCCCCAGCGAGGCGCACTGCCGGAGGAACCCTGCGCTTCCAGCACCGTGCAGGACGGTTCCTTTACCAACCCTTGGCCATTTCGCGGGCTCAGCGGGGAAGACCGGCACTGTTCCAGAGACTTTTGGCTAGGAAGGGCCCGAGTACCTGCGGCGCTCCGGCCTCGGGCTCCTTCCCGCGCCGGGCCGCTCGGGCCGGGGCGGCGGGGCCGCGGCAGGGGCGGAGCGCCGCTGNCCGGGCAGCGCCGGGCGCCGCCACGGCCGAGTGAGGGCCGGGGGCCGAGCCGCGCCGGGGGCCGGGCGGACGGTGGAGGAGGAGGAGGTCGCAGCCCCGCGGGGCCTGAGCCGCGGTCGCGGCGCGGGTAGGAGCTCCGGCCCCTCCCGGCCGCCGCTTCGGAGCGGGCCTGGGGCGGCCGCCCGCGCTGCCTCCCTGCTCACGCCCCTGGCAAGGCCCGGCCGCCCGTGTGCGGGGATCAGGCAGACCGCAGCGCCCGGCGCATCCCGGGTGAGGGCGGCCCCTGGGAGGGAAGGGTGCGAGGAGCCGCGAGTGCGGCCCGAGGCGGGCGGGAGCGGCAGGGTGGGTGAAGCGGCGCACGGGGCCTGGCGCACGTCGCGCCGGGGGTCGGCTCTGCCAGGCCGGCCGGGCCTCGCCGCAGCCTGGCCAGCCGCGGGTCTGTGCCCGCAGCGAGCGCCCTGCTCGGGCTCGGCTGCTGCCTGGAGAGTTTGAATGAGTCTTCCCTCCTCCCCTAGACGAGGAAGGAGCGGGGCTGTCTGCGTGCCACATGTTCTCCCCTCTGCAGGCCTCTCCTAGGAAAGTGCAGCCTGTAGGAGCTACCATGTCTGGCAGGAGACTCCTCTGTCCCTCTTTTAGGGATTTCTTAAGGCGTTCCAAAGATTTCTATGAGTATTGAGTTTCAGGCTCATTTTGTTTGCAGCCATGACCAAACGAGAAGTATTGCGTATATATGGCTGTACTTTGAGGCCTTGAAGAGGCTTTGAGAGACTTAAGAGAAATAGCTCACTGAAACTGGACAGAATATCTGTTGTAGTGCTAAACATTGCCTTTAGGTTCAGTCACAATTAGAAAATTTATAAATGATGATTAAGTCATTTTGGCCAGCAGTTTCCTAATGTTTGACTGGATAAGTTAATTATATTTAGTACTCATCTGAGACCTGATTTAAGAGAAGCATCAGAATATTATCTTGATGTATTTTTTCTGAGAGAATATTTTGGAAGTTTCATGGGTTTTTTCTATATTGTCAGCAGAAGAGGCTGTTCTTTGGACAAGGATAAATGTTACTAGGTGTTTTTTGGGGTTTTTTTTGGTATGGTTTTATGTTGTTGGGTTTTTTTTAATCTTCTTCCCGCCATTTTGTTTCACTATTCCCATGGCATTGGGGTCCAGCATTACTCAGATTTTTAGGTGCTGTCACGACAAAAATATGGTAACAGTTTGTAGGTTAGACATGATTTATGAAGCATTAGTTTGTCTAAACTCGCAGGGCTTGATTTATCGTTTATAAAAATTATTTACAAATATTTCAGAAATAATGTAGTTTCCTGTAGGTGCAGTAGATCTGAAGGGTAGCATAGAAAGGATAGCAGCATCAGTAGCTCTCTGAGAGCACCCTTTGGGACTACGTTTCTCATTAAGACTTCCCATTCTTTCAGTCCTCTTCTGTGAAACAAACATTATTGCTTTAATTAGCTAGCAGTCATCAAGCTGCTATCAAGAGAAGATTTGGTTTTTTTTCTTCATAGGAGAAAATCTGGGGATTATGAGGGAATTTAGAGGGAAGAATATGTTATGGAGTGGAGGATTTTACTGTGTTGCAGCATAATTTCTCCACTACCAGTTCAATCCTCCATGTGATGGTAATTTAGGAGCCAGCTTCCATTTGGATGAGAGTCAGTGAGTGCCAGGAAAAAAAATGTGGCCATCCTCTAATGCAGTGAGGTTTAGGTCAGAGGCTGGGATGAAGCATAGAAGAGATCTAGAGGAGTAGAGAAGGGGGTAGAACATGAGAATAAAACGTGAAACAGCAAGGCTTTTTTGGTTCTGGTTGACAAATATGGGTCGACATCCAGAGCTGTCTCTTACTGTTGCATGGTTGTCTTGCCTTGCTCTCACCTTCAGTAACAGGTAGGAAAGGATTCCACTGCTGAAATTAATTTTGGGATTTGCATGACTTGGAGATTACACCCTGTAAAAGGTTTTTTCCTCCTTTCATGCAAGGCATACTCTTGCCTTTTCTTATTAGCACTTTTTAAAATTTAAAATAAAAGTTAATGGATCCAGACCTATTCAAATTCACACCAACAAGTGCACTTATTTGTGTACAGACCTTACAGAAAACACCTGTATTTTTTTACAAATCAGAAGAAAAAGTACTTTACGTATAAATTAGATAATAGAAAATCATGACTAAGACTTGACAACATCAATTTTTAGTTGCACGTGACAAGAGCATGGTTGGATATTTTAACATTTTCATTATAGGAATCCCTTTTCTAGAAAAATAAAGGGGATGATCCAGTGGGAACCTGTATTTCTGTGTGAACAGTTTCAGAATGTTACTACCTTCTCAGCTGAATTTTATGCTCTCCCAGCTGGGGTGTTAAAACTGGGTGTGCATTTGTTATACTTTAGTACAAGAAGAAATTCATGTTTGTAATTGCAAGAAATCATACTGAAAGTGGTATAAATGATTTACTGGTGCAGTAGGGTTAGGGTTATGTACTGCATATTTAGTCAGGACCTAACTAAGGGTGATATTTTCTAAAGACTCTCTTGCCTCATGTCTGTAGAAGACAACAGTTGATATTGTCAGGTGTCTGATTTCCTGTTTTAGAGGGAAACAAATCCTATGTCAGTAGTCCAGTAAATACTTTTAACATTGTTGTAGAGAGGAGGCCTGATGAAAAGTTTTGTGAATCCCTTTTTGCCTGCAAAAATGTTGAAAGTTTTATTTTATAGATGGTTTTTTTTTGAAGGGACTGTCAGATTGAAAGCTTCTAATGCATGATTTTTAATGATTACTTGAAAATCTTCCTACATAAATTTCATAGAGCTGTGTAGAAAGCAAATATTTTCTTTCTTATAGGTGTGTTAAATCCATCTGATTGCAAAGACGTCATCCTAAATCTGAAATTTGTTCTAGTGTAGCTCATTATTCCTAAATTTGGCAACAAAAATCCTGTGCTGCTGATTAGTGAAATGAAGAAAAAATCATTTTTTTAGATGTCATTGCTGCTAATTCAGAGTTTTGAGATCATGAAGCACAGAGGAAAAGGTGGTGGTATTTAGGGAAAAATGCTTAGGAAATTATGGAGATAGAGGGTTGATCTGTTAAGGTTTTTCACGTTCATGTGAAACATATTGTTCTTATTTTTGGTATCATGCTCACACAGCTGCAAGCTCGGTTACAGGAATGGATCTATGAAAAAATTTTCATGTCTCCCAGTTCAAAAATCATAAATTTACTTCTAGTTTAATCCATACTGGAAAGAGCTTGTAACATTTTTAGTCTGTGCCTCTGCCATCACTTTGGGCTGGTATGTGCTGCTGCTGTATCATCCTGTGGAGGGAGGAGGAAAGGTTCTTATGCAGCCAAGTAGCCTCTTGTCTGCAGGCTAAACATGTGGGTGTAGGAGCCCTCTGGTGTAGTATCAGCCCACATTTATGTTCAAGTGACTGCAACCACAGCCTTAAAGAATATATGTTCTGTGTTCACTTTGTGCAATTGCATTTTCTGAATGCAAAGTTTTGCTTTAAAGTACATTTCTGGAGATTCTGCATGCCTGTCTTTGAAATATGTAGCAATGTAGTTTAGTCTTGCTGCCTTTAGATGGTGTGAAACAAAATGCTAGGAATGTGAATTTATGTACTTTATTGTTTGCCTTGTTTGGACATTGGATGAAGATCAGTGCAGGTAATTGTAAGGAGGCACATTCAAAGGCAAGGTAAAGGAAAAATTAAAAATATGGAAGAATTGGTGATGACAGGGGAGCAAGTGAAGGAATAGGACACAATGTATCTTTTTCCTGCTAAATATGTCTTTGCTTACTATTCTGTCCTGTACTGGGACTGAAACAAATCAGTAGTTCAGCACAGTTATAAAGGATGTTGTTTTTCCCCCTCCTGTAAAACAAGGAAATACTGCTGTATTGCTGCTTGCTGTCACTTTCTTTGGGATGCATGACATGCTGATACTCAGTTGATGTGCATCTGTGAGTGCTTTCTAACCTGTTCAGTCAAAAGGCTCCAGTACATGTTAAAAAAGTATTATTACCAGATCCCTGCTAGCACAGGTGATTTTGGAAATAAAATTCCACAAGATGTGTTTTTTAAACATATCAGCAAATATCACTGATAATCCCTGGTGGATTGTGAACAGTTGGGGTAGTTATCTTTTTCCATTAGCACAGATCGTTTTGGAGAAATAGAGCTGCTGGCAGCCTGGTCTTGAGCTGGCCAGCTTTATCCTGCAAATATTTAAACAAAACAATGAGTGATGGAGGTGTGAAGTAATGTAAACCCTGAGGGACACAGTTGGTGAGATGTTGGTTGTGGGTGCAGCTGTTCTGACGAGACTGAGTACTTTTGGTGTAATCGTCAACAAATACCAATATGCTCTAAGCTGAACTGTAATTCTCCTTTCAGACATAAAAGAAACAAGCCCTTTTTTTAGATATGCTGAAATGATATTCTAGGTGCTTGGTTGGCTTTGGGGCTTTTTTTTTTTTGGTTATAGGTTCTACTTAGACTTAGCAAGAGCCTTTTCAAACAGAAGGTGCTTGAGAATGGTGAATAATTTGAAAATTTCAGAGTAGTACTTGGGCTGATATTTTGTCCTTTCTTAGAGTTTTGGAAGGAAAAAGTGAACTGACTTACCAAGGCTGTCCTGCATACGCATTTTTTGAATGTATGTATAGTAAGCATCTTTTGGGTTGACATCAAATTCGTTTTCCTTTCACTAGTGAAATTCATCAAATTCACAATTAAAAAACACAGGGTATTGAGGGTTAAGAATATCCATGTTCTAACTGAAAAGAAATTTTGAGAGAGAAATAGCACAAATCATTTAAGCCTTATTGTTATCAGATATGTAGTGCTACTGAGTCTGTGATTTTCTGACTTCATTGTTGATATTTTGTGACTTTAGTCTTGGCATATTTTTGGTGGTTTTCTTTGCTGATTTTGTATTTAACATTCAGACCCCCTGTACTTGCTTTCGATATGGACAGGTTTTGAACAATCATTATGTAGAAGATTGTGTTTGGTGTTACTACATGAATAGAAATTATTACTTTTAAGGACCATTTGTAACTTGGTACTTTGCCCTGTAGCACATCAGGAAAAGGTCTGGCTGAAATAACAGTGCAGAGGATACTTAAGTATATTGGAGAAGAAACGCTCACTTGACTTGAGAGGTGGGTAGGATAAATGTCACTGATAGCTTAGCCTGGTTTTTGGGCACCATGAGCTTGAGAGTGAGATACGTTTGCTTGGCCTGGTGTCTGTTAGGGGGTTCATCCTGACCCACTGCCATACCTGTCATTTAGAATCTGGTGCAGCTGGTGTTTAGGGGATATTATTGGAGGATTTAGGGAAACTGCAGGGTACACTGGAGGTGATGGTTAGAATATGGACTAACTTTGTTTGTTCCACTGTTCATGAAACAATGTAAAAGTAGAAAAACATCAAATTGAGAAAACTTGGTAGGGATAGGTAGTTGGGTAGAAGTCTTTATTTCTGATTTTTCTCTCCCATTCTCTACAAAACAGAGTTAAAAATTAACTGACATAGATATATTTATATTTATTTTGCAACATAGCTTTAGTCATTATCAGTGTTTGAAATAAAAGTTATTTCACATATTATTTCACATGTCATGTATTAATTATTTCACGTGTCACATATTAAGATAGTTGTCGTTTATTTTGGCTAAAATACTGTGTATAAATGTTAAGGCATACCTCTACATTTCTCAAGCAAACTGCTTGCAAAGCAGGAAATTCCTTCTCACTTAAGCATTAGGATTAAATGCTTGAAGTTTGAGTACAAGCAGCCAATCAGTTGTGGTACTGATGATCCTTAGAGGTCTCAGCTCAGTTAAAACTGGCAGTTCTACCACCAAACAATATTTATTACAGCATTTATTGTGAAAGGTTTTGTTGAAAGAAGTATCCCCGTGCAGCTGAGTGGTCTGTTCTGCCCCTGCCGTGGGTGGCTGTGCTGTGGCTGGGGTCAGCTCTGGAAGCAGCCTGTCCACACCCTCCCCTCTCCTCCCCTCCCTTGGCCACACCCTGCCTTCCTTGCACTGCTCACAGTCTGTGCAGCCTCCTGCTAACCTGATGGCATCAGAGTTTTCAGCTGTGGACATCTTCTCTGCTTCTCTGCTAGCTACAAAATTGGTTGTACTAATAGGAGAGAAATACTAATTCAATTCAAGCAGACTGAGATAAGCCTGCTGTTTTGGACCAGGATCTGGCTTGTGTGTATGAATGTATTTGTTACACACCTAGAGAATATCTAGTGAGATTGTGCATTGTTTTTTAAATCTTCTCATGCTGAAAGTCTCATGAATAATGAACTACTGAGTTGTGTTTCATTTAAACCAGTGCTGCATGGTTCCTGTGATTTTTGCTGCGTAATCTCAGCAAAATGCTAGGAGTGACAGGACAAGTGGAGAGAATATAGGCTAACATGATTACACTGCTGTCTTGGTTTTTTACAGCCTCTTGGTCATATGCTGAGAGTGGCAGATGGTGACAATTGAATTTTTCAAGGATGTTCTGTGGTGAAGCTTTAGGAGAGATGTGTGCAGTATGTCAGCTAGATTTGAGCCATGTTTTGTGGCAATAAAAAATAATTAGGACTGAAAATGTATGGATTACATTCCAAATTCTGGAAAAGATACTCCTGTCTTACAGATCCTTTTGGTGTCACTGTTTGGGTTTTTTTCCCAAGTCTGAAGTAACTCAGAGAGGATAGGGATTTAGAAAAGAAAAAGAATATGTTTGTACATAATGTTGGAATGTTGGAGAGGCAAATGGAATTAAGACATAGCTTGTTACACAAAAATAAAAGGATTTATGCAGTATAAGGCAAAAGTTGCTGTAAAATTCTCTATAAGGAATCACAGAATCATTTAGGCTGGAAAAACTCCTCTAAGACCATTGAGTCCAATAGTAAATCTAACAGTACCAAATCTACAACCAAACCATGTCCTTAAGCAGCTCTATGTATCTATAGGTCTTTTGAATGATACCAGAGATGGTGTCCTAAGAGATAAAGAATGACATAAAAGGAAAAGGGGCAATGAAAAACCAAAATAATTGTACTTAGCAGTTGTGGAACAGCTGCACCTTTGTATTATTTTTGTCAAGAGTGGTTTGAATCCTAATTGGAGCAATGCCTGGTAACTGCCATGACAGGAATCCAGGAAATACTGAATTTTGAAATTTGAAAATTGAATTCTAAAGTCTTGCCCATATCTCACAGTATCTTTTCCTTTTGTATTTCCCCACCTGAAGTATGGCACTCAAGTTTAAATTTAATGTTATTGCAGCAGACATGAAGAAAATCAGTGATTTGGTGCTACAACACTTAAAAATGACCTAAAGTACTTGGTGTTTTTTGAACTTCAAAAAATGCTAAGGTTTGCTGTCTGTGTTTGCTTTTCTGCAGTTTTTATTGACTTTTGTATTGACTTACACCTGTATTGAGTTACACGTGATTTCAGTACACAGAAGGGAAAACTAAATTTTATTTTTATTGCTTACAGTAATTAGAGTTCTGAAGCCATGGGAGTAAAGGTCCAGAGACCTCGTTGCTTTTTTGACATAGCCATCAACAATGTACCCGGTAAGAAAATTAAAAGTATCAATTCAGTAGCATGATATTCATATGTGATATGTATAGGAATAATAAAAAATACCATTTAACTTCACAGTAAATACGGTGTTTTTTTATTTTTCTAGCTGGAAGAGTGGTCTTTGAATTATTTTCAGATGTGTGTCCAAAGACATGTGAGAATTTTCGCTGCCTTTGCACAGGTTTGTAGATTTTACTATTTAATCTGTAATTTTTAATGTAATGTCATCTTAACTAGTTTGATGTCTATTATTATTCATGACATTTTGTTAAATATGAAAGTAAGTTCAGCATTGGTCCTTGACACCTCTGAGTATTTAGCTGATGGCACACATATGATCCTACACATATGATGCAGAGTCAAAGCAGTTGTTATTTAATCTGTAATTTTTAATGTAATGTCATCTTAACTAGTTTGATGTCTATTATTATTCATGACATTTTCTTAAATATGAAAGTAAGTTCAGCATTGGTCCTTGACACCTCTGAGTATTTAGCTGATGGCACACATGATCCTACACATACGATGTAGAGTCAAAGCAGTTACAGCTTTGGCTTAGTGTGTTCAGGGAGTGTATACTAACCAACTTTAAATACAGGCACAGTAAGCTGATTTTCTGTTACTAGCACAGATATTAGTGTTCACATTATATAACATCATCCAGTCTTGAAAGGTAGCCAACAAGAGGTCAACCATGCAGACTTATGTTTCAGTCTTATGATACTTTGTGGAATTTGAAAGGTGATGCTTTTATTCGTCAGTTGTTTTTTCTGTTATTTTAATTTCTTGATGGACACTGGTAATTTCTGCTCCTATTGAAAGTATATTTCTTGAGGAAAATACTCAGGAGATTCTCCCTTGGAAACATTTACAAACAGAATTACTTTCCTGTGGACTGCATGTTTTTGTTGCAAATGCTGAGAGCTTAGCAAAACTTGAGTTTACTGTCACAAGAATAACTCAGTGAATACATAAATAGCATATCTGCTTTCTGTCTTTAGCTTTTTCTGCTTCCTTTCCTTCCAGCTAGGTTGTTTTTCAGGTCAAGAGTTTGCAGCTGTTAATAGTGAATCCCTCAGCAGTACTAATATGATCTGAATCAGATGTGGATACATGATTATATTCCTGTTAACTAGATCATGCAGCACACCATTGAGGATGTCTGCAGGAATGTAGGCATTATCTGATCTGACAGTAGCTTTACTGGCACAAAATCAGATTATCAAAATTTGTTAACAGATTTGAACTTTAATAATTTTTAATGGCTGTGACTATGTTAACATGTGACTGGCATTCTTTATCTGCTGTCAGCTGTCCAAAAGTCAAATTATTGAATAAAGGTGTTACTCCCTACTGCTGCCTTATATTTGTGAATTGAAGTCTGCAGCAGTGTTTCAGGTCAGCAACAAGTATTACTAAGTTCATCCTTTGCTGCTGACATCCATAATCAAATTCAGATCCTGAACTATTATGCTGCCTTAACACATATAAGAATAGTGAGACAAATATGCAGAAAGTTTATTATTGATCATCAGCAAATTATTAAAACTTTTAATTTCTGTTTCCTTACTCATCTTTCTTTCTGGAAGTTTTGAAAAGTGTGTGCTGTCTTCATAAAACAGGGATCAACAGCTCCATGTTTTCCTGGCGTGTGCCAAGTTAGTGCAACATACACAGCTTCACATTTATCAGAGTTCCTATCAAAAGTGGGTTTTTTTCTAGCTGTTCAAATCCGCCAGTCTGTAAGTTCAGAGTCAACTGCCCTTGACAAAAGCTGCCAGTTTAATTGCTCAGAATAAGATTATAGGAAGATGTCTTTCCAGCATGAAGAGGAAGTGGTCTTCCCTGAGAAGTCCCATTGATTACCTTACTGTTACCTTCACAGAACCCACCATGAGCCATTCATCTTGCTAACTCAGCAGAAATCCTCTCTCTTTGAGCATTGTGTTGTAGCTGAAGCAGAGTTTGCTTAAATGGCAGAGCTGATGCAAGGGAGGAAGATTGCAGTTGTCATCATGAGCAGGGGAGGGAATGAGAGTCCTCCTCCTTCCCCCTGCCTCTATGGCTTTCTTACAAATTTTTATGGTACCTTAACCTTGCTGTGTTTTAACTACAGGTCTGATTGTTTCTCGCACGTTTCTGAGCCATACCAGTTGTCATGAATGTAAACTGGATGTTTAGCTTCAGTCAATCTGCTTGGCAGTGACCAGAGTTGTATACTAATGTCAGTAAGGAATTCTTCTAGCATAGCTGTAGAGACAGAAAGTAGTTTCTGCACTGCTTTCTTAAATGCCAGTTTCTTACTGGTATTACAGGTAAGTGTCTGCCTCACAAGCCAGTTTTTCAGAGCACAGAAGATAATTTTGGTTGAGTGCTTTATATAGAACTGTTTTTGTAATGAAGATTCTGTAGATGCAGGGAGTAATTTCTGGTTTTGTTCATTCTCTTCTTTAGGTGAAAAGGGTACAGGAAAGTCCACCCAAAAGCCATTGCATTACAAAAGTTGTCTGTTTCACAGGGTTGTGAAAGATTTTATGATCCAAGGAGGTGACTTCAGTGAAGGTATGACGTGAATCTTTAAAGAAAATTTGCCACTTACATAATAAAACACTGCAAAAGTTCTTTTTAGAACCATTTACTTAAATTAATTATTCTCTGACAGATATCCCTGCTTTCCCCCCTTTCTTCTGTGTGAGAACCTTTCCATGAAAACTTGTATCATAAACTTATGTATGTGCATTCACACACTTTTGCTCAAGTTATCTCAATCATTCCAAGAGCTAAATACCTACTATTGAAAGGTTGAAGCATGAGAAAAAAATACTTTATCTGCTGCTGGGAAATAAAGAAAAAAGGGAAACAACTTTCTTGTTTTCCAAGTTTTTTGCTTTTGGATTACAAAGATGCATCTTGATTGTGTTTGCATATCTTAAAGAATAATGTCAGTGACTTGAATGCAGTTACATCAGTATTATGAAGTACCTTCCACATAATCTAACTCTTTTAATCACTACTTTAACTGTCACTTCTCTTTTAAGGAAATGGCAGAGGAGGAGAATCCATTTATGGTGGCTTTTTTGAAGGTAGGAGTTCTATCAGCCTGTTCTGTTTTGGTGTTAAAATAAACAGTCACCTTTTTATGTTCTGTAGTATGTGTTCTGTAAACCTGAATTCCATTTTTTAAGAACATTTTGTCTGGTGTTGAAGGCCTTTGACTGTCCCATTTAAGTTATTTTACTTTTAAGACATGAACCATTTTAATGAATGAAAAACTAAAGCTGAACTCCTTTGTATTTATCCCTTTTACCAGACATACATTTTTATTGCTGGTTTTAGATATCTATTTTTTGCTTGCTCAGCTTAAAAGCTGGTTTCCCTTTGAGGGAAAGGGAGAAAGGTGTTGATGGGGTTGTGTTTCCTTGCAAAGAGCCCTGCTTTCCTGAACCCAAGATGAATTAAAGATGGAGCTTTTTGTTTTCTCACAGTCCTGGTTCTTTTCAGGCAGTGTTGCAGAAGAAGTTACACTTGCTGCGTTTCTCAGCCTGTGTTTGTCCAAAATGTAGTGGAGCATTTCTGTTTATTGGAGCAGTTGTTGTGTTACACCTAAGCCCAGGTGCTGGGTAGCTGCCACCCAGGCAAGGTTAAGCCCCTCTCCCCTCCTGGATACTTTTTTTTGCCATTGGTTGTTGTCCAGGCTTGCAGCTCACACAATAATTGTTCACTGCTGTAGTTGGCCCAGGCTGCAAATTTATATCAGGTCTTCAGTGGAATGAACAGTTTGCAACTGCCAAAAAAGGGAGGAGGCCTTACCTTGCACTGACTCTCTGATCAAACTTTAGCCTGATTCAGCTTGCTAAAATGCCTAAAGATGATTGCAGCAAAAAAAAAAATTAAAAAATACCCATGTTAGTGAGTGGATCCAATAAAATGCCTAAAGATGATTAGAGAAAAAAAAAAAAATTCCCATATTAGTGAGTGGATCCAATTTTGGCAAGCATAAGAACCAACACCAATGAGTAGCTGGATTTGAGGAAATATATGGCTGGGAGAAATGGAAAAATGAGCACAAACTCCACTTACCTTCTGACAGTATTGGGCTGCCTGTTCAACTTTGCTGGTCACAGTATGGAACTGAATTTGTGAAAAGTTTTGCTCAATTAACCAATGCACCACAGGATTAGATTGACATTTGATGCTATTGTACAAGTGATTAGAGAGTGAGTGGGACCATCCCTTTCATGGCTAGTGACAGTAGCATTATGAATATTGTACATTTCTTTGTTAATACTTCCTCTTGCCATCTGTATCCTAACAGAATTGAACAAATGTCCTCATGGATGCAGAATTTCCTTCTCTCAAAAGCCTTTTTGCTGTTTTGGGAAAGAAGGGAGAGGATGGTTTCTTACAGGTGTTTTAAATGAAGAATAGTGATTACATTTTACACTTCATTTCATAGTTTTGTTGGGATTTAGTTTGAACTATTAACAATTCCTTGCTCATAAGAAGTAGGATTCATTGAACTTAAACTAGTTAAACTCATTTTCTTAACGGCTAACTTGATAAATTCATTTGTCTGTCAGACAAACAAATTGTTTGGGATTACTATCAAACTATCTGTGTGTACTAAAAAAAAAAAAAAAAAACCAAAACAAAAAAAAAAATTAAAAAATACCCATGTTAGTGAGTGGATCCAATTTGGCAAGCATAAGAACCAACACCAATGAGTAGCTGGATTTGAGGAAATATATGGCTGGGAGAAATGGAAAAATGAGCACAACCTCCACTTACCTTCTGACAGTATTGGGCTGCCTGTTCAACTTTGCTGGTCACAGTATGGAACTGAATTTGTGAAAAGTTTTGCTCAATTAACCAATGCACCACAGGATTAGATTGACATTTGATGCTATTGTACAAGTGATTAGAGAGTGAGTGGGACCATCCCTTTCATGGCTAGTGACAGTAGCATTATGAATATTGTACATTTCTTTGTTAATACTTCCTCTTGCCATCTGTATCCTAACAGTATTGAACAAATGTCCTCATGGATGCAGAATTTCCTTCCCTCAAAAGACTTTTTGCTGTTTTGGGAAAGAAGGGAGAGGATGATTTCTTACAGGTGTTTTAAATGAAGAATAGTGGTTACATTTTACACTTACTTAATTTCATAGTTTTGTTGGGATTTAGTTTGAACTATTAACAATTCCTTGCTCATAAGAAGTAGGATTCATTGAACTTAAACTAGTTAAACTCATTTTCTTAACGGCTAACTTGATAAATTCATTTGTCTGTCAGACAAACAAATTGTTTGGGATTGCTATCAAACTATCTGTGTGTACTAAAAAAAAAAAAAAAAACCAAAACAAAAAAACCAAGCCAAAAACCAAACAAAAAACCAGAACAACAAAATGCCTGAAAATTAGGGATTTATTAAAAGTTAATACACAGCTTTTGTTCCAAAGAAAAATAGAACAACAACTTAAACATCTCTGCTAACATTGGTAGGAGACAGATCTTTTGTGCAAGAATACTAAATTTTAATTTTTTTTTCCTCTGAGGCTATAAACCATTGTATTCATATTTCTCCTTGTTACATAGAATGAACAGAATGATGCTTTAAAAATAGCTGCTATTTTTAGTCCATTTTTAATACAACTTTTCATTCAAGTGACTAACAGATTTATTTAATTAGGTTTCATTTACTTAGATGATAGCATTTACTTAAGCATATATCGTATGCTTAAAAAGTAACTGAAAACACTTTCTTTAGATGAAAGTTTTGCTGTAAAGCACAACAAAGAATTTCTCCTTTCAATGGCCAACCGAGGGAAAGATACAAATGGTTCACAGTTCTTTATGTAAGTATTGAAATGTCTTGAAATGTGTATATGGTTTGCTATTTGTAAGCTGTAAAGGGAATCCTTTTAAATATTGAAGACTAGCTCCTGTGCAAAGCCAAAGTTGATGGTTTTTTACCAGCTTGCCTGGAAGTAGCCATTTTCCAAAATAGTACTTATTTTTACCCCTAATGTGTTTATTTGTATTTAATTTTCTGTGCAAAAGGGCTTTCAGTAGTTTTCAGTAGCTGTGTTCTAACTTGCACAAAAAAGCAAACCTGTTAGTTTCTTGTAAAATTCTTAGTACTCTAATAAATTGTTTTCAGGAAGGCGGCAAAACAGCTCTGGGGGTTCCCTACAGTAGTAGAGGGCTTTTTCTAATCACAAAATAGTTTTCCAGTACAGTCTTACTTATAGTAAAACGTAAATTCTTAAATTTATAAAAATATATTACAGTAGACTCTTAAATTCTACATTATGTAGAGAAAGTATTCTCAAAATACATCACTCTACTCTTACCCGTATATCATGGCCTTAGTTAACATAACAAGTTGTGGATGTCAGCATTAAAACCTTATTTTGGGATTCCTGAATGATCCTTACTCTAATCATCTCAGTTTTCTAGTCTTCCATAACTGACATGCATGCCTTAGTAATGCTAGTGTGGGGGAAAGAGAGAGAGTCAGTTCTGCTTCTGTGTCAAGTAATCTCTACATGCAGATACTTTTTCTTCCAGTTTTCTGGTTATTTTCTAATGTGTAAGAGGTTATTTGCATTTTTCCTGCAGATTTTTGTATCTGTTCCTGGTAGTGTTTATATAATTCAATAAGAAGAAATTTATTATATCCTATATGAGGATTCTGTCTAAAAATTTATGTGCAATTTTGTTTTTTCAGTAAAATGTAATAATCAAAGTGTTTCATTGAATAGGTAGTTTTACATAAACATTAAATATATTTAACTGCACACAAACATAGACTGATATGTCTTGGTTTTGTTCAATTTTATTAGTGTACTCAAAATAATGTTCACCCTCCTGTGTGTAGATTATATGATTTGAATGCTACCTGCTTTTCACTAATACTGATTTTGTTTTTCTCTTTAATTTAAAATCTGGAAACAACAGAACAACTAAACCTACACCTCATTTGGATGGGTAAATATCTCTTCTTTTTTTCTTACATTTCTTTGGGAGCTGCCTTGAGAAAGTTAAGTGCTAAGAATACTTACTTTTGTTTATGTTCTTCAGGCATCATGTTGTTTTTGGACAAGTCATCTCAGGTCAGGAAGTTGTGAGAGAAATAGAAAACCAGAAAACAGATGCATCTAGTAAACCATATGCTGAAGTACGCATACTCAGTTGTGGAGAGTTAATTCCAAAATCCAAAGGTAAAGTTAAATTGGACATATGAGGTAATTTTGCTTGTTTTCTTCCATGCTGGCCGCTTATAAAAATATTTAGAAACTTGTAATAGATGATGGCATGGTTGGTGAAAAGGTGTATAACATTGCAGAGCAGTCTGTTTTCTAAAGAGCTTAAAAGTTGTTGGTGCAAAAGACATTAAAGAACAATCATGTACCTTTTTTCAAAGCTTCTCCTGTCTTGAATTTTCTTATACTCACTACATTTTAGTACAAAGCTGGCAAGCACTTGTCATATCAGCTAGAGTGCTGTGTTAGGGAGATTGGTGGCAGTCTGTCTTCATTTGATAACTCATACTTCTTCGGAAGGTGTTGAATTTGTATTCATAGTATTTAGAGGTGAGGTGAGATTGTTCTTTGTTTCATTGCCACCTGGCCTACACCTAGATCCTTTGATTGAAATTATTTAGAAAAATGTTAATTTTTCTTTTATAAATATGTACTTGTTACATTCTGTAAATACTTATGTATTTAGATAATCTAAAAATATTGCAGAGACTTTTTATTAAATATAGTACTAAAATAAGGATGTTGAGCAAAAGTTTGAGAACAGAGAGCAATTATCTTGGTCTAGACATACAAGAAAAATGAGAATCATAGAGAATTGTCTTTTGGAAGCATTTTGCAAGAAGCCCTAAAATTTTCTGATGAGAACGAGCTGATTCCACTCAGCAGGCTGTCCTAAACTGGTAGGAGTACTTGCTAGTTTGTACTGCACCTGGAAGTGACTGGAAGGCCAGTATACTCTGTGAAAGGTGGAAGTTTTTCAGTAGGTTGGCAGGCTTTTGTTAGTCTGTATCAAGTGAGGCTTGTGAATAAACACATGGAAAACACCTTGTGTAAGTCACAGAATTACAGTGTATTCTGAGTTGGAAGGGGCACACAAGAATCATCAAGTCCAGCTCTTATGGAGTGTGAATTATGGACCAGGTGAATGGTCTGGTCCCTACCAGGGTCAAACCTTGGTGCTCTGACCAAGCTCTGACCAGCTGAGCTCATCTCAGTTGTCACGCAGCTATGAGTTGGGTCTGTGATGCTAAGCTGAAAAATAAGTGAGATTTAGTGCAATGGGGTCGAATTTCATCCACACTACCCGTGTGGGGATTTGTTAATGATGTAACATGAAAAAAGGTATCCATAAAGTGTATTACCATAAAAGTAGGCCAGGATTGTTTCTGTTGGGGTACATGCCACAGCTCTGATCCTGTTCTATGAATAAAGCTCCAGCTAGCTTGTTGTTCCCCAGAAGTGTAATCTCAGCTTGTTGAATTGGAAGTGAGTGTGCTACATCACTGTGAAGAGCAGACCTTTCACCACTCTTTGTATCACTGCTTTCTGAATGTAAAACCCAACAAATTAGGATAGTGAGGTAAATTCAGTGAGTACTTGGTTTATTAATCTGTGCCTCTTATTTTCTGCTTCAAAATTTCTCTTATTAGTGATTTGATGAAGTCAGGTGAAACCTGAAGCTAAAGAATTTTTTTTATAAACATGTGTAAATAAGTTTTAAAGAATTCTTTGTATGTTGCTTATGTTGTATAAAACATCATCAGAAAACTTAGATGGTTCTGCAAGTGCTTGACAGTATACAGTTTAGACTTAAAGTTTCATAAATCCAAATTATGAAAATGTCTTGTTTTTCTAGACATATCCTTTATTGTACTATGGAGAAACAATGTTTTTCCAAAGTGTCAATTTGTTCTTAAGTGTTTTGATGAAGTAATCTCACGACACAATTACAAGAATCTGAGAGATACAAGATACAATAGTCTGGTCCATACCAGGATACAAGATACAGAGACAGCTGCAAGATGGGTGATTTTTCTGAGATTAGTTTAGAAGTGTTTGATATTAAAATGTGTCTTTGCTATTCTGATCTAAAGCTAAGAAAGAAGAAAAGAAGAGACACAAGTCATCTTCCTCATCCAGTGACTCGGAAAGTTCAAGCGATTCAGAATCATCTTCTGATTCATCGTCGGATTCTGAGAGTGCTTCAGAAGAGAAATCTAAAAAACGAAAAAAGAAACACAAAAGAAATTCCAAGAAACATAAGAAAGAAAAGAAAAAGAGAAAGAAAAGCAAAAAGAGGTCAGTTTTGAGATTTTTATTTTGTTACATGTACACCATACAGTACCATTCTCTTGTCTTAATAGCTACAGACTACATTTGTGTAAACTAGCAATGCAGGTTTCACAGTCTGGGAAATCATTGGCTTCCATATACAAGAATAAATTTTCTGATATGATCATGAAGGATCATGTTCATGTGCCTATGTACTGCAGCATGTACAGGTGTAAACAAATGAACTAAGACTTCAGTTGAAAGGTTGGAGTGGTAGGCTGGAAATGGGTAGGACTAGTTTGTTGCCATGAATTTACTTCTGTACAATTCAGTTTGAACCATATGCAATGGAACTTAGAAAAAATGTAGTATGCAGGAATATAGCAAAAATAAATATAAAATTAATAAATTAACGTACTTAAGTTTTTGGGTCTGATATGCCAAAACTCTTGCAGTTCTGGAAGATGATTAAACTGAGAAAGCAGCCTTGCTTCTGAGAATATTATTTTGAATCTAATAATTTTGTTATAGTTCAGTGTGAGATAAAAGTAGTGTCAGTTTGTCCTGGTTTAAGGCAAATTTGGGAGGAAACTCCTAAAGGGGTCCTTCTAGAAAAGCAGATTGAAGTGGCCCTTCCCCCAGCTGATTTAGGAAAAGATATCCTTGGAGAAAAGTGGAAAAAATTGTTTCTTTAAAAAGCAAAGTATTCACAAGCATAAAAAATGAATAATATTAAACAATAAAACAGCACAGTCCAGGGGAACGATGCAGGGGAGTAAGTGCAGCTTCTGATAACAAATTCTGAGCTTCTTCTCCCCCACTTTGCTCTCAAACCCATTCTTTAAGGTGCAGAACCTGATATCCAGCATAAACAGAACAGATGACTGAGCATGCAAGCATCATAAAGTCACCCTAGGACACAGTGCAAGTCACATTTTTCTAAGATAGCAGTGAAATTTAAGAAACGTTCACTTAGGGCAGTGCTGCCTAAATACTGTTTCTGTGCACCTAAGCCCTTTTCACAGAAGTTTGTAAATTGCTTGAAATTAGTATCGTCTGTAGACAGTTATATATACTGGTGTAAAATCTTAATTTTTTAGTCCCTTGAGATTGTTTTTAACACAAAATAATTAGAACTAAGAAGTTGCATCTGAATAGACAGTATGTATACATCTGGTGTTGCACCATTGTAATAAGTGGAGAAAGAGTGTTGGTCAGAAATCTACTGCTGTTGCATACTTTGGAACAAATACATCATGGGGGGAAAAGTTGTTTCTGAAATAGCTCTGTTTTCTGAGATTCTTGTGGTATCGTTGTATATTAAATTAAGAGAATTTCTGAATTATTTAAATAGATTGGAGGGTCTCCCTAATCCAAATAACTCATTATGCATATTTTCTGTACAAAAATAAAGCTCATCCAGTGAAAGTGAAGATGAAAATACTGAAGCACAGCCATTATCTACTGTCCGTCCTGAAGAAATTCCTCCTATACCTGAAAACCGGTTCCTGATGAGGAAAAGTCCTCCTAAAGTAGATGAGAAAGAAAAGGAGAGAAAAAGCAGAGAGAAGGAAAGAGAGAGGTAATATATCTGGTTTAAGTCTGACCATATATGTGCTGGCAGGGGTATGATCACATTACTGTTTTAGAACTCTAATGTTGAATCTTTTCCATATTGAACAGTTCCATGTTGTAAGCACTGCTGGATGGAAAATAGATTTCTCCGTTTATTGGAAACTGTTTTCTTCGTCCTAGAACAAAGGCTTAGTCTTTGAAAATGGTTTTAGTGAGTAAAGAATGTATAATGACAGGCATAATTTCATTTAGCATGCATTGGAACTGTCCAGTCTGAGTCTATAATTTTTTCTTTAAAAATTGAAAAACCTGGAAATCTTGTAAAATTATTGTGGTCACAGATTGAAGTTTTACTGTGTGGGTGTTACTGTCTGCTGAAAAATAAAATGGTGTGTTTTTATTTAGTTTCTGAAGAGGTTTAATACTGATTTTCATTATTTTTAAATTATTTTTAGTAATCTATCAAACTCACAGTCAACATACCAGAGAAGACTGTTAGTCACCAGATCTGGAAGGAAAATAAAAGGAAGAGGACCAAGGGTAAATGCTTGTAATCTGTTCTTCAAAATAAGCAAGGTGGTAGCACAGTCTCACTGCTGGTGGTACTGATCATATTCATTGGGATAGTTGATTTTTAAAAAAGAAGTGCATTGTAATTTATTTGAGGACTGAGGCTTGAAGGAGGACAGAAAAGAGAAGGTGGTGAAAAAAAGCATTAAAATATTTTATTTAAGTGAATATGGTAATATTTGAATTGGTGAATGGAACTAGCTCAAGAAGGGTTCTGGTGAACACAGAACCAGTAACATCAGTGCCAAGAGGGTTGGGAAGGCTTCTTCCCCTTTGGGCAGGGGGTAGCTGTCAAATTGGCTCTTTCAGTATTGTGAAGCCATATGCTATGTGCTGCATGTAGCAAATGTTTTTCATAACTGAAGTCTATCCCTCAAATTTTTAGTAAAATTCTTAACCAGTGTGAAGTATTGTTTTTGCATTGCCTGTCAAAGATATGAATCTTCATTGTTAGTAAACAAACATTTGTGCAAATTGAAAGTAGCAGAAAGCCTCTCATCAGACTACAGAAATCCTGATGTAGACCTTACCTTAAAATCAGTTATTTGATCAGACTTTGTATTCCCGCTTTAGTTAAATGTCAGATACATTTTCAGTAAGTTTAGAATTTGTCAGTGGAAACTTGGTGTATACATGTGAAGTGTCATGTTAGGTGCAATACAGAACCGAGTGCCAGGGGTGAAAATCTTGCCTAGGTGTCACAGCATGTGAAATTCAGACTAAGACAGGATTTTCTCTTTTTTCCTCCAAGCGCTACCGGACGCCTTCCAGATCCAGGTCAAGAGATCGATTCCGGCGCAGTGAAACTCCTCCACATTGGAGGCAAGAAATGCAAAGAGCTCAAAGAATGAGAGTGTCTAGTGGAGAAAGATGGATAAAAGGCGACAAGTAAGACTATTCTTTCTGGAGCATGTGCATATGGGGTTTTTAAAAAATTTTTACTTCTTAATTTTTTTTGTTGTTTATTTAAAAGTAATACCTGTTATCTTGGATTTTCAATTACAATTGCATTCAAGAAGCCAGGGTTCTGACTTGATTATTCCATTGTTTAATTGTGTGAGAGTTCAACCATGCTACTGCAAATACGTAGTTATTAATAAAAATTATCTGATGTGAAGTTTTAGTTGTGAACCTGGCTCACTTCTGGTTTAATTTTTCAGAGTGGAGGAAAATGAAAAGTTTTTAAAAATTGTATATTTTCTCTCCAAGGAGTGAAATAAATGAAACCAAGAAAGATAATCAAAAGAGCCCAGGAAGAGGTAGAGAGAGAAGAATATCAGACCACAGGCAAGTTTCTGAAAGTCCAAGCCGAAGAGGAGAAAAAGAGAAGAAAAAAGATCACAAATCCAGCAGTAAAGACAGAGAGACAAGAAGAAATTCAGAAAAGGATGACAAACATAACAAAAGCAAAGCCAAGAAGAGAGCTAAATCTAGAAGCCATAGTAAAAGCAGAGAGAAATCAAAAAGTAAAGAAAGAGACTCCAGGCACAGCAGACATGATGAAAAGAGACTAAGATCAAGAAGCAAAGAGAGAGACCACGAGAAAGGTAGAGAAAAAGAAAAGCACTATGATTCTAGAGGGAGAGAGAAAGAAAGAAGTAGGAGCAAGGAGAGAAGTAAAAGAGCAGGCTCAAGAAGTAATGAACAAGAGCATAGGAAGAGCAAAGACAGGGAGAAACGCAAGTCAAGAAGCAAAGAGCGTGAGCATGCTAGAGGAAAACACAGCTCCAGCAGCAGAACAAGGGATCGAAGCAAAAGCAGAGACAGGGGTAGGAGAGGAAGATCAAGGAGCAGGGACAGGGATCGCAGTCGAAGTAAGGACTATTCCAGGAATAGAGATAGAGAAACAAGAAGGAGAGGAAGATCAAGAAGCAGAGAAAGGAGAGGTACACCAGATAAATACAGAGGAAGAGAAAGTAGGAGGAGGAGAGAATCAAGGAGTTCAGAGAGGGATGAAAGTCAAAGCAGAAACAGAGAGAGGTATTCAAATAGGGAAAGTAGAAGCTCATATAAGAGGAATGATAGTGAAAGCCAAAGGAAGAGGCGTTCAAAAAGCCGTGAAAGTAGTAGTCCTGAATCTGGCAGAGATAAGAAGTCTAGTAGAGATCAGGATAGAAGTCCAGACTCAAAAAAGAGACCAAGTAGCAAAGAGAGAGAAGCAAAAAAATCATATTCACGCAGCAGTAAAGAAAAGGAAAAGACCAGATCCTCAGCAGAAAAAGAAATTAACCAAAAATCAAAGAGTCAGGAGAGAGATCATGTCCCTAGTAAGGATAAAAAGTCTGATCGTGAAACAAGTCCTGGAACAGATGATGACAGGCATGGATGAGTTTGTGGACTTAATGTTTCCATTGTCTCAAAGTTTTAGAGACGTTTTGGGGAACGCCTTTTTTAAAGATGTGGACTTCAGTTTGGTCTTTTGATAATCTAAAACCTGGATCATTTGTACTGCTAAAGTTTTAATAAACTTGAAATGAAAAACAAATTACATGTGTAATACAGTGTGCTGTGTTTTAAATATTTCATTGGATTATGTATCCTTCCTGTGTGTTGTCAGCTAAAAGGTAACTTCCATGCCACTTCTATTTTTTACCTGATGACCATAGTTCAGTGCAAGCAATGGCTGCCTGCAGAGAGGCTTGTTCCATATATGAAGAAGAAAACTGCAGATAAACTACATGTCATCTTAAAGCTAGGAGGATATTGCAAGGTATCCATTACTCCAGTCTTGCTACATCTGTTTTTCAGTAGGTATAAATCCTAAGGAAATTTTTTTGTAGAGGAAAACTGTGTTAGTTTTTATTGTAATCACAAAGTGAATTAATTTAAGTAAATCTTTCTTTGTACTTCTGTCACTGCCAGCAGTAGAGTTCATTCATGTAGTAAGGCAGTCATCTGTGTTTGGGAGTTATTTCTTTGTCCTAAAAAAATGTTTAAGTGCTCATCAGCATGACTTTTTTCCCTGTAACTCTCCATTCCGTGCTTTCATGTCGTCTACTGCAGAAATGAATGCTTCAGACTACCCTGCCTCAGTTCCTCAGTTGCCTAATTAGTGGATGCACAGAGAGGAAGCAGATTACCAGAATTTACAGTGGGATCAGATAAGGAACCAGGAAATCCTTCCAACATTGTTTCTTAACAAGTCCATGAGAAAACTCTTGCAGTTCTCCAGTACTGGTTTTTGGAGTAGTTGAAACAGAATTTCAAGTAATGTTTCAAAACATGCTCTTAATTTTTTTTAAACTGAAATTTGCTTTCTTCCTTGTTTCCCGTCATTCTAAAGAATGTAACTGTGAATTCCTTCTCATTCTCTACTGTCCCTCAAACCAATTCCCTCCCTTTTCTGCTTTCCTCTCCTGCCTCTAGGTCCCACCCCAGTTTGTATTTAACCACCACACCTTCACGGAAGAGAAGGAGTTTGGCTTGTGCTGCTGCAGCAGTGCCCCCATATGTGCAGTCCCCAAAGAGCAGCTGGTATGCGGTGACTCAGTGCAGTGGTCTGAAAGAATAGATTTGGTACAAATCCCAACCCTCCTTTCAGTCCATGGAACTATTCACATCTATGACTGGCAAATCTTGAAAGTCGTAAAGGGAAGTGACAAGCATTAATCTTAAACTGTGTCAAAGCAAAACAATATTGTAATTGTTTGAATTTTTGCCAAATCTTTCACTAGATGAACCAACTCGCTTTTACTGTCTTGGTAATGAGTTTGTTAACATTTTCACTTTGTGATCAGTGTTTGTTTACAGGAGATTAGGAGAAATGCCAAAGTTTGCTTGACATTGTGATCCAGACAGTTGTTTATTCTAAAGAAAAATTATTGTGTCTTGAAAGCAAAAGCAAACCTAGGATTGTGACCAACGTAAGCAGTGTTTTTGAAGGACGAAAACTAGAAGTGTGTAGAGTGACTTTTTAGCAGAATAGTTACTGGAGCTGCTTTGGCTGTCAAGTGCTTTTTGACTTTTTTACTGTGTTTTAGAAACATCTCCTATGGATTTTGTATTTCAGTGGTCATTTTACATAGAAGGCTTAAAAATGTTCCTGGTCCACCTGTGGGTGAATGACACAGCAGTTACTTAAGAGAACTCAGAGGAGTGAGCCAAAGACCTTTATAGTGGCTCTCTGAACTTTGTAGGACTTTGGAGAAGTTGTAGTCCTGCTTTGGGGGACTGTAGTAAGAGTAAAGGTAGGAAGTCAGACTTCAGAAAACTGTGTGGCAGCTTAACCGTGCATTTATACTGTGCTATGCATGCCATGTGCTTCAGAGTCTCATTTAAAAACTGTTTGCAATGTTGTTTCGTTATTTTAAATAGAGCTGACACATGAGCAAGCTATTGCAGAAGTTTATTTGCACTACTGGGAATATTCTTGCCAATATCACTGAAGCTTGTATAAGCATGTAAACAAAACAATCTACAACTATACTGACTCTGCTGTAGAAGAAGGGGGGAAATTACAGGCAGTCAGCAATACAACAATCCATAGAATATATTTTTTTTAATTGTGTTTAGTTTAGAATTTCAAAGTGGATATTAAATCCAATTGTAGTTTGCAGTTGTAGCTACTTATTTTAAAATATGCACTTGCATACCCTTTTGTATGGACTTTGTTACAGTTCAGAAAATTATTTGCACAACTTAAATGAACTTTAATTCTTTCATAACACATTAAAAATTTATCTGAGTTGGTGGCAGAGAGCCCATTTTCTTTTTTTTTTATTGTACTTTATTGGTTTTGTTTAAAAGCTGGCTACACTAAATTGCAGGTGGTGGGATACAGTTGCCTGTGTTGTATTTGGTGGTAAATTGGGTTAGTGCTGAGCACTTCCTTTAAACAGATACACAACTGCAATCTTTTACAAGGGAAGGTTTGCCAGATTTGTGCTTTTCTTTATCAAACTGAAAATTGAGAATGTTGCTTAAGAATTTGGTGGGACTAAAGCCCAATCCCAGGGGGACAGCAAGATGTCCCCAAGCACTAGTCAGTTCTTGCTGCCTTGTCAGGAGGCACTGAGGGTTGCTCTTGCAGTCCTGAGTCTGTTTATTCCCTCAGTGACAGAGCTTTCCTGTTCTCAGCCTCACAGCAGCCACCTTGTGCTGTAGTCACAGTATAGCTCAGTGCCATCTTTGACATCTGTGTCAGGTCATTCATTGGCTTGTGGCTCAGAGGACTGGTTTGGAAGAATTTAAATATTCCAGAGGCAGTAAAAACAATGCTCGTGATCTTTCATTGTGAATATGGGAAAAAAGAGTGCAGCTTTTTCTGCTGGTGCCCCAGAACTGACGTTATTCCAGGGAATTAATGAACCCCAATACACAATGTAAAGTGAGGGCAGGGATTACTGACTAACTTTGTAAGTGTATGTTTAAGTGTCCATACAGGTTTGAAATAACTTCCAAAGGTTAGACATGCTTTCTCTGTTGTATCCACAATAGATGCTGAGATTTTACTCATACCATGCAACATAAAGATACCTGGAATGTTAAATTTATAGTTGACATTGGCTTTTCAAACTTTGTTAGAAACAGACTCTTTATGCTGGATTCTCTGGGTACTGCCATCAACTCAGAAGCAGAAATTCTTGCTGAGGGTGGATAGATAGAATGTGCAGTTATGTAGACACTTTACCTGTAAAAAATGTGTTGCTGTCTGCTAATTCTTTAACACAGCCATAGTGTTTCAGTTGGTTGTTTTTAAGAAAGAAAAAAAGGCAATGGTTACATTTTAATGCTTTGTTCTATTTGATTGTTAGAATTTTAGCCTGAAACTTTGCACTTTGTGTTTGAAATTCCAGACTACAGGCTTTTCTTGCAGTGTTCTTTGTCAGATGCGTTGAAGAATTTGCAGTGATCCCCAATAATGTCTGATTTGTAATAGTGTCAGCCTGGCAAATGGATTTTAGGTTAATGTAAACAAAAGAAGCAGTCCTTTAGCTGCCTTTTCTGGAACTGTTGATTTATTGAAGCAAATAAAGTATTTTTGGAAACACCTCTGGGGGCATAGTAGACTCATTGTTTTTCTGATAAGCAAAAATGTCTATTCCTGCTTTTAGGACTTCACTTGTAAAAGAAAACCTAAAGCTATACATACTATGCTTTTATAAAAGTAGCAGCCATGAAAGTGTTCTTTTTGGGGGGATTGTTAATTTTGTTTTGGTGTTTTGAAGGGTTTTTTTGTGCAGTTGGCCGCCCTTCTAGAGTCGATGTAATGGAAATGTAAAGAACTGTTATGTACCTTCCCTTTGCTGAAAATAGTAATTTTCATAAGGCAGTATTTAACTAAATTATTAAAGAAAATGCATATCAAAAGGTCAGTGAACTGCATTTTGCAAAATTTGAATTTACTACAGTTCTGCAGTTGCAGAAAACTTTAGCTTTCCATTTTGGTGCTTATGTATTTCTAGTTTAACTACTTCTCACCCTTGAAAAATTCATGTCATTAAGAACACTGTTTCAACAAAACTTTTTCGAGTAAAGGCCAAAAGTAATGTCCACATGTTTGTTTTTAAGGATCATAAATATGAAAATAAGTTTTCTAGTTCTAGTATGAAATCTCACAGAAGGAGTAGCAGTAACAAAATAGTAAAAAAAGTGATGAGTGTTCATAGTAAAACTACATAAAGGTAAAGGTATACTTTGTGAAAATATTATTAAATTAGTGTCTTTCCTTAAACAGTTGTTGTTCAGATAAAACTAATAGGGCAGTTAACATGCATAGGTTCAGAGGAGAACTCTTGAACCGCTGAATATGCATATGATTGGTTTTAAATTTCTATTTGTACTCATGGAAGTTCTAAGACATTAAAAGGACTAAAAAGCTGAATTAATGCAGCACCCCGATTTTGAATTTAAATTTTGCAGTATGTAAAGCACTTCAGGAAACTTGCTATTTTTAGCAGGACGTTAGACATGGCTACATACCCCCTTTGTAAAAGGTAATCTCTATGTGGCTTTAGCCATAGCTGCTATTGGAAAGAGTGATTGAAAGGATTGGAAAGAATTTAGGCATATTAAATTCTTAACAATGGTAAGAGGAACTAGCTGATATCTGGGTTCCTTCAGTTAAAATAATTGTTAATTATACCAGCAGTATTGTGCATGCAGCATTTAGCAGAGTATTTTGTAATTAATCATAGTCTTTTGGACATTTTGTAATTTATAGTTCATAACAGGGCAAATTATTTAGTTGTAAGCTGGGAGAATGAATTATTGATTTGAAATGTACAAAATTGTGTACTAAATTACTTCTCAGAAATAAATGCTTTTCTTACTTATTTGTTAGAGTATTCCATGTCTGCCACATGTGCTTCTTGCAGTATTAGCATCTTCTGCATTTAGAGAAATAATCGTTTCTAAGTCATATTGTGCAACCTGTGCTTGTAAATTCCCAGAATATTCCAAGTTGGTCCTACAAGAATCATCAGGTCAGCTCTTAGGTGAGTGGACCATACAGGATCAAACCCATGAGCTCAGCACCATGCTCTG